TCAACACACTGTACTCTATGGAATATAAAGCAACTGGTGGTCATTAGAGGTGCGCAGCGCGGAGTGCCCGTACGTGATCTTTGACAAAGAGCCCACAGCTATTGATGTAACGGAGAGGAATAATATCGCCAGCATCAATATCGAAGTATTGTTAATTATTTTGAAGACCTACTAACCAGTGCGACTGACATTCCTCTCTAACTGGCCAAAGGATTTTCACACCTGGTTCAAGTATCGCGGAGTTCTGGATATCCTATTGAAAATATTCCCCATCTAAAGTAAGTGGTCAATTACAAAAGTAATTTTAAAAGACCCAAAAATGGCAGAAATGGAAAATCGATCGTGATAACATAGCGGTTACAGTGCTACAACAAACAATTACCACGATGTCCATTTCATTAAAGTCTTAAGGGCACTTACGATAATTTTTATTATTCAAAACTTTCATTTTAACGATTTATCAGAAAACGTGTAATAACAAGTATTCATTCTAGGTAGTCCTAAAGCGCAAACCTGATAATATGAGCAATTGTATTCAAACAAAAGGACTTATATGGAAATTCCACTATTTTTTAAGGATTACTAAATATTAAGCTTGCTAGTGGCAATTGTAATTTTCCACACTGCTTACTATACCTATTGTCTGGTTTCTCAATCACCATCAGTATCCTCACTTTAGTCTAGTTCAAAGAACTTGAGAAGTGGTGTTACGCTGTAGTGAACTAGCTTCCAGATAATTCCTTAGTTTTCGTACGTCAATCGCACGGAAAACTGTTATTAAAGTAATCCCTACAGTTTATGGATCCAGAAGACAACAGGAAATGCCGACTACAGTTTATCATCAAATAGTCCAAATAACTAGGCCACAGGAACACCACGCGAATTCGACTAGAAATACTGGCAGGACCTGGCGAGCAAGAGAATACAAATGCGAATTAGGAGTTGGATAAAGAATTGAATGGAGATTCGAATCAATTAGTGAGATTCAAACACATGAATATATATGAGTAAGTGATTCGAAGTGAAGAAGAGCAAGCCAACTCGCGTCGACAAAGCGAGACTCAATATTGATAGTCAGACAAAAATAAGCTACAGACATATGTTGAATAGGGTAAGCAATGCACACCTATACGCCCATACAAAGTCAGTCAATGTTAATAAGCGAATAACTGACAGGGTCAAAATGCGGCTTAAGAAGTGTGAATGAGCTAATCTGTCCGGAAGCTAGAACAACATATGTGGTCTTGAAAATGGCACTAGTCACTACAACAAAAGGACAAGTTATCGAGCAAATTTTTAATATTCAGCAATTTCTTAATCAGTACAACTTTTAGTTTCTTTTAAGATACAATATATCACATGCAGTTCATTAATACTGCCCAACGTAATTGGACGTATCCGTCAATCTTTTAGTACATCTACCTCTCAGTGTTCAACATGTGTATCACATCTAGCACTTCGCCGTTCATTCAGAGAGTGAATACTGACCAAAAGAGAGAAATCCAAACTGAGAACTTCACGTATAGCTTTAACTTTCACTTTATTTTCTATTATTTTCCAATCAGTCAAGATGCAATATGGTATTATTGATTGAACTAAATGAAGCTTTGCGTGGAGGACTGAAACATAAGATAAACGAACAAAATGCTCCAATGACACATCTCACTTATATCGAACACTATAAGAGAATGGCTAACTTCGTAAGTGTTCATCTATTAATTACACTAAAGGTAACTGAAAAATCACCATAGTTTACCGCGTATAAGCCTCACCACTAAATATCCTCCTTGTCCCTCCAACAGTGTCTAGGTCTTCAAAGACAAGTTTGCATTCAAAAGGGGAAACACGGATTAAAATTGAAACAGACTGATCAAAATATTTAATTTGATGACTCCACGTTATCACTTAAGTAATTGGCGCAATCATTCCAGGTGAACTAAGTTAGGGAATCTTGGTATTTGTATTAAATGATGATTTTTTCGTACTTGACTGGGCGCTTATTAGGATCCTAAATATAAAATGCTCATCTAGTTCTACCTGCCTAATATTGAACTATTTCGAAAGTTCTCAGTTAGCGCATTAATTCAAATACTTCTAATTATCATAAAAGCTGACATATAGTGATCAATCTCTTCCATTGAGGGAACAGAAGAGTTCACTAACCTGATTCAGGTTAACCAGGATGAAAATATTGGATTGTTCATAATTGTGTATGGTTACGCAAGTTAAGTAGGCACATTATTCATCACAGCTACGTAGTGGGTTGACTCGGCAAACAATAAACATATTAACAATTTTTATAAAGCTTTGTCAACTTGACCCAGAATTTAATGCTGTGTTAGATAAATACAAACAAGAGTGTACTTTAGTTTAGACATAACTCATTGCTTTTATACTCTGTACAGTTCGGACGAATATGAAATTTGATCATAAAATATTGCATTGCTCAAGGACCTCCTTCATTTAGAAATCTTTCTGCAGTATTTTGACGTAAAACACTAACCAGTAATTGAAGACAGAGATTTTCACAAAAGTGGATCCTCACATTTTCATACTAAAACCTAACAAAATGTAAAACTCATTTCTGGAAATGATGTCATTGTCACTGCAGTCTAACATCCAAAAGTACTACTGTCGTGTGTGCTACTTATGTAGACATAAGTAGTATATGACGTGAGTCGTGAACAGAATGTCTGGCAGCAGAGAGACGGGAAGATCGAACAGTAAAAAATGAAGACAGAATGCAATCTGTATTAAAATGCAAGAACAAAGGAATTCTGAGTCATTTGAGACAAATGATAAACATTTTGTAAATTGAGCATTTAATATATGGTTGTTAGATTTTATTAACTAGTTCTGTAATTTGTTGTTAAATACATTCGATTGTCCCACTGGTGTTCTTGTTCCCTACACTACTTGTTTCAGAACTAATTTTATCTCATAACCAACCGGTTTTTTCGAACTTCCTTCATACACAAGACCTACTTTTGAAAGTTCCAACACATCTAAAAAGCATCTGCTTCATGGACGTTGGTCGATGAATTTCGAATGCTGGAGAATAATTTAAAGAAAGCCCATTAAATACGAAGCTACTGTTGTTTCAGAGAAAGTGCGATTTTCACCAACCTGGGAACGGAATCCTTCAAAAATCGCCATCGAGAGCCAACTAAAAGAGTAACAGTGGCAATGGAAATAGTTTACTTCCCAAGTATTAAACGTGAGAATTAATATGAAATTTCTTAATGTGGATAAATCGGAACGAAGTCTTATCGATTCAATAATTCGGTAGATCTCCAGATAAGAGGAATCTATACCACAACAATTAGATTGGGTTTAATCTAGAAAGTGTTGACATATGATGTACTGCAAGAGGGCTATTCTAACTATAGATGATATTGCAGCCGACAGACAACACCCTCCGACAAATGTTAGAACACCGTCATACTTATCAAAGACCAACGATCGTAGTGTTTCTTGATATCAGGGCTGCCTTCGATTCGTTGGGCAGAACTGTTCTCTGGGATTGTCTATTGAAGAAGGGTATGCCTGAGAAGTTTATTAACATCCTAAAAGCCCTATACACAGAGTGAGGGCATACAACCACCTTTCTCCATTGTTCCATTCAAGCAGTGGGTTTAGACAGGGTTACCCAATCTCACCAATCCTCTTCAACTTTCCCATCGATGACATTATGGAAACAGCTCTGATGGATGTAAGTAATGGTGGTGTGGATCTGTTGCCTGGAGAAAGGCTTCTCGACCTTGAGTATGCGGATGATATTGTCTTACTGTGCGATAATGCCCAAGCTATGCAATCCGCACTTAATCAGTTGGCAATCAGTGTCCGTAGGTATGGTATGTGCTTTGCACCCTCGAAGTGCAAAGTACTTCCACAAGACTAGCAGGATTCTAATCCTGTACTCACTCTGGATGGTGAGCAGATAGAAGTGGTCGAGAAGTTCGTGTATATGGGTAGCTGCATAAGTGCTGTTTGTGGTGGCGTGAGTGATGAGATCAATGCACGTATAGTGAAAGCCAGAGCGGCTTATGCCAATCTGGGCCATCTTTGGCGCCCTCGCGATGTTAGTCTGGCTATAAAATGTCGGATCTACAACGCTTTTGAAACCTGGCCTATCCGAGTTGAGGATGTTAAACAACTCTCTGTGTTTGATCATCGTTGTCTCCGAAGGATTGCTGACATCCAGTAGCAACACCATGTTAGTAATGCAGGAGTTCGGCATCGTGTGTTCGGTCACAGAGATGACAATCCAATAGGTGTTACCATCTTGAAACACTGACTTCGGTGGCTTGGACATGTTCTACGAATGTCGTATCAGAGAATTCTACGTCGTTCACTATTTGCCGACTCTGGGACTGGTTTGGAAAAGTGGAGAGGTGGTCAGTGTATGACATGGGGTCGTGGGATGAAAGGAAGCTGCAAAGGGCTGGCTTGTGTTTGTCCTCCACGACTCACTGGCCGGGGTCCTAGAGATGGTGTAACACAAGTCGTAACCATGTACACATGCACGAACTAATATCCTTCGACCTTAAGACTGGAAAACCAGTGGGAAAAGTAGAAATAATTAAGTAACGAAATTGAACAGATCGTTAACACTACTATTATCTTCGCAATAAAGTTATATAATTATCTATAACCAACCTCATGCACCATGAATGAACCGCTCAAAATCTAGGTTAACTAGCCGAAATGAATTAAAATGTAAACTTTATGTAAACTACACAGAGGAAGATGAAAAAAATTATCAGTAAACTATTTGATGTTTTTAAGTCACTCAAACAATAACGAATAAAAAAATTATTAATCACTTCAAGGTATAATTTTTTTGTTAGAATTCAGTATATATAGATGTAGTTTCCAAGACAAAATGTTTAAATAATATTCAACTTTAAATGCATTACAAATAAAATGTTCAGTGGTAACTGAGGTGGTGAAGAATACGTCAACATTCATTTAATTTCACTCTCCCTGTGCTTAACGATCTAAATGTTGATATCAGCACGACTGATTTGTTGCTTTAGTTTTCTAAAATAGAACAACCAAATCGCAAACATAAAAACAAGAGTAAACGTTATATAAGATTATTTGACAAAACTTGGTCTCATCAATAAGTGCTTGACTTACTTACGCCTGTTACCCCTTGTGGAAGAGCATAGGCCACCCACCAGCACTCTCTATCCAACCCTGTCCTGGGCAATCCTTTCCAGTTGCTATTCATTCTTTTCATGTCCGCTTCCAATTCTCGGCGCAATGTGTTCTCTGGTCTTCCTCTTTTCTGTTTACCTTCAGCATCCCAAGTTAGCGCATGCTTCGTAACGCAGTTTGACGATTTCCTCAAAGTATGTTCTATCCAATACCGACGTCTTTTATTAATTTCCTCTTCAGAAGGAAGCTGGTTCGTCCTCTCTCACAGAAGGCTGTTGCTCATTGTATCCGGTCAACGGACATTGAGTATCTTGCGTAGACAACTATTTATAAATGCTTGTACCTATTTAATGATGGTTGTACTAGTTCTCCAAGTTTCAGCTCCATACAGTAGAACTGTCTTGATGTTCGTATTGAAGATTCTCTCTTTGATGTTGTTTGACAGTCGCTTTGAGTTCCATTTGTTCATCGATGATGGGTGAAAAATTCCACATCTTCCAGAGCTTCTCCATCAAGTGTGGTTGTGTTTGTGCTCTCATTGCTGTATTTGAGGATCTTGTCCCTTCCTTTGTATATGTTGAAGCCTACTGATGTAGAGGCTGCTTCTACACTACTTGTCTTCATCTGCATTTGTTTTCGTGTATCCGATAGAGGGGCCAGGTCATCTGAGAAGTTCAAATATTCTAATCGATTCCGAGCTGTCCATTGTATTCCATGTTTCCTCTCAGATGTCGAGGTCTTCAAAATGCAGTTAACCACTGGAAGAAAGAGGGAGAATAGACAGCTTTGTCTGACTCCGGTCCTTACTTGAACTGCGTCTGTCAGCTGACCTTCATGCATGACTTTGCAGTGCAGTCCATCGTATGAATTCCGCATCGATATTGACGATCTTCTCAGGTACATCATAGTGCAGAAGACGTTTCCATAATGATCTCCTACCTACACTACCAAATGCTTTTCCATAACCAAGGAAGTTGATGTATGATGACGAGTTCCATTTAATTGGTTGTTCAACGATGATCCGTAGTGTGACGATTTGGTCTGCACACGAACAATCTCTCATTATTGAATATGCTACTGAATTTCAGTTGTTTACGGGTTTCATTCTCAACTCGGACATTCACTAGTAGCGCAATAAACGCTCTCATTAATCGTTTTAAGTAGAAATATAGTTCAGTATTCATTGCAGCGGGGGTGTTGTACGGTGCAGACACCAGTTTTATGTCTGCGGCTGAACATTTAACCTGTCTTCAAACTGAAACGACCACTTCCATATGCATCAGTATCAGTACCAACAATCGCCCTTCAGTGTGAAGACAATGATAATGCAAATTATGGATATTATGACAGGTGAAGTAACAGGAGTTTCTGCCTACTGAGATTACATCATTATTACTGGAGCTATTCAGGAGGAACTGATCAGACTTCCAAGATAAGTGAGTTTGTCAACACTTTCGACCACGTCACTCCTTATCCTTAGTTCAGGTGTTGACACAGACCAGTCCTGAGGCAACAACTTGCATTTAGAGGGAGAGAAACGCATCCCAAACATTCTGGCATTGTTGCTCAGTGCTACCAAAAGACTCTGCATTTCATCAGCGTCTTCACCAAACAGGAATATGTCATCTGCGTATTCTAAGTCAATAAGTGGACCTCCTGGTAGGAGACCAATCCCCGAAAATTCAGTCGATGAGAGCGTTATTTCCATCAGTAGATCTATGATGAAGTTGAACAACAATGGAGAAAGTAGACAGCCTTGACGGACCCCACTTGAGGTTGCAAAAGCAGATGACAGTTCGCCATAAACTCTGACTCGACTAGTAGTGTTCGAGTAAAGAGCCTTCACAATGTTTATGTACATCTGAGGTACGCCTTTCAACGACAGACACTGACACAGAATCTCTCAGTCTACAGAGTCAAATGCTGCTTTTAAATCAAGGAAGACCACTATTGTCGGACGCCGATAAGTATGCCTGTGTTCTAGAACCTGACGAATGGTGAATATGTGGTCGATGCATCCACGACCAGGTCTGAAGCCAGCTTGATTCTCTCGTGTTTTCAGCCCACGAGTCTTAGTTAGGCGTCCAACAATTATTGAGGCTAGTATTTTAGTTAATCTAATCCCTTTTCGGTTATCAAAGGATGATTTTGACCGCCCCTTATACATTGGGACAATCAGTGGTTGTGACCAGTCAGATGGGGTTACGCCCAACTCTCAGATTTATGCTAAAATATTAGTCAACCTAATCGCTAAAGTTGGACCACCATCCTTAAAGACCTCTGGAGCCAATCCATCTGGACCTGCTGCTCTTCATCGTTTCAAAATAACTATAGCCTTTTGACCTTCAGATAGAGTCGGGGGACCTACTTCAATGTTCCTTTAGATTGTCTGGGAATGATGGGTAGTTGTAGAGTAGGTGAAGGCCAGCTGAACTGCTCCTTAAAATGTTCCATTCACCGCTCTAAACGTCTAGGCCGAGAGCAGATAAGTGTGTCGTCTTTCCTGAGATTATCTCACATGTGACGTTTAAATCCCAGCTTATTTTATTAGTCTGAAAAGCTGTGTTGTGATACCTACTACTGTTACCTTTCTAATCTCTTTTGCTCATGGTCGTTCCTTAAGCTTTCGGTTAACCTAGATCTGATTTGTTTACGCTCTTCATCGTGTTCAGAAATACACTGTTTTTTTCTGACCCTTTGCTTCAAATCACCAATAGATGTCGCTGCTAATTCCACAGCAGTTTGTATAACTTTCCAAGCAACATTTGGGTCAACCTCGTTTCCAGAAGTGCCCAAGTGTGACGTCAGTTTTTCCTGGGATCTATGGAATTCGCGTTAGCTCCGTAGTTGTTGGAACCTTACCGCCAGATACGGAAATCCGTAATATGTAATCTGAAATATTCATTCAGGTGAAGCACTTTGGGGGCGGGATTTCCGAGACTCCAGACCACGATAGGTAAATGGAACGGTAAAAAGGAGAACTTGAGCAGTTATTTATGCAGTGAAAGTAGAAGAAATCATATGGACGAGACACAGTTATCATATAAAAAACGAGGTCGTAAAAACATCGTAGCTATTCAAGAGTTGGAAAAGTTGTCAAAGGTATACTAATGGAAAATCAAGCCTACAAAATAAAAACCTATCAGGGACCAGGAACACGACCACGCGATTAGTTGAGAAGATCCCACACAGTAAGAAGAAGAACAACAATTCTTGGATTTACCCCCTACGGAAAACTTACTCCTGTGTATCCATTCAAAAAGAACGGGAGGTGATATGACGGAATAAGTAGGCAAAATTACATCCTTTTTCTCATTGTGGTTTTTGTTCAACATTACTTGCGTTAATTCATTGTAGTATTTGTTTTGTTTTCCAGTGGTATATTTTATTCTGTATAACATTAATGTAATTGAGTTCGATGTGTTTATTCAAAATACAATATTCTTGTATTACATTAACATGAACTACGCTCAGTATGACATACAGTGTGTGATTCAATTGTCACTCTCGGTATTTTTCATATATGTAATTTTATTCTAAATAATAAACAAAATGGGTGTACAATCAATACATAAACGAGTGTATTTTTGACTAAGGTTGTCGTCATGTTTTTGGAGTTAATAAATCTTCATTTGTAACAGTATTGTCCTTCATACTTCGCGTCGTCGGGATTGAAGTAGGTTATTGTTTTACCAAGTATAAGTAATAAGCGACGCGGATATAAGAATACGAAAACTCATTGCTTTGAAAAAATTTAGTTAATCTGGTTTATTCCTTTGTCTTTACGAGAAGTTTCTGAAAAACCGACACAGTATAGTGATCAGCTGCAGCAGTTTACACTTGGTTTTGAATCACGTCTAGTATATGCAGAATTGATAACTGTCTACGCAGGTGTTAAAAGCATGAAACAATGGCTTAAATGGGGATTCCATGTAGATTAATTTGATGTATTCAGAAAGATATATCCAGTGTATATTATTAATGAAAAAATTCTATAAATTTGAACAACACATATAAGTGGACAACGGTTTTCAACTAGTTTTATTTTAATATACGGTCTAAAGTATAGCTTCGTCGTTTTACAATGGCGAATGACCTCATCTTCTACAAATAGTAAGAGCTATAGGGAATCAAACCTAAGACCCTAATTTATGTGTTCTTAAGAAATCTAAAAGCCCTTGCATCTTTCATAGTCAAGTATGAAATAAAAAAATGATTTTACTTATTCTTTACATCCTTGATTTTTATTCACCTCCTTTACTACATATTTCCCAGTATCATAATCATTTTACCGATTGTCATTCTTATGTCTATTTTCTAAAGCTTTGAATTATTTTCTATATTGAAGCATTTATTCAAGCTGTTATCATTTTTATCACTACTAGTATACCTGTCATTGTATTATCAGTTTGTAAGTTTTACCCGTTATGTGTAGTGATACAAACTCTTTCAATGTGATCATTGTCTAGTTTAATATGTTTTCATATATCCATATGTTATTAAATATTAAAGCCTGATGAAGGTGTAACTGAACACAATACTGTACAGTTATATATGTTGTTCTAAATTACATTACGAAAATTTTCAATACGTTAGAATCACATAAGGATCCAACCGCCACAAATTGGCAAAACTATCTTTGTCAATCAATTTATATTAGCCGATATTTTTCTGAGTACCGACAATTGTCTGAACAATGAAAGAACATTCACAAATATTTCATAATAAACTAACCATTGAAATGTTCCTTTTAAAGTTTCAAAACTATTGAAAAATTATTGATGTCAATAAATCGAATAATCAATTATTTTTATTTGTGATAATTACTTCGGAATTTTTAACTCAGATACCGTTATGACATACGGTCGACTATTATGACTGAGTCACCAATTGTTATATCTGTTCGTCGCTAATTATTATGTCGGAATCGCTTATTACTTTACTTGTAAAACGAGAAAATACTGCTATTCCCACGACGGGAAAGTAAGAACACAAATACTGATACAAGTGAAGATTTATTAATCCCAGAACACGACGATGACTCTAATCGAAAATACACTCATTTATATGTTGATTGTACACCCATTTTGACGAATAATTAGGGGGAAATTGTATATATGAAAAATACTTAGTTATAACAAATCACATACTGAGTATTATACTGAGCATAATCCATGTTAATTTAATACATGAATATCGTTTCTTGAACAAAAATCACAATCAGGAAAAGAATGTAATTTCGATTTTTAATTCCAGATCGTAACCACACTACAGCACTACGAAAGTAAATAAATTGAGTCATGTTAAACAAACAGCTTACTTATTAGGTTTCGATTCCATCATACGAGTATAGAAAAGAATCTAAAATATTAAATTAGAGAAAATATGAGTACAACAAATAATATAATAACTAGTTAATTTATAATGTTTCACAATAATTTTATTGATTGACTATTTGACTGGTTGTACTGACAGAAGTAAATGAGAAATACATGAAATCATAAAATTAGTACCCTTGATAAACTTTGATAAAGCGACGCCAACAAAGAATGTGGGATGAAATGAAATGAAATAACTTTGTCTAGCAATATTCGTTTTAATTTTACATAAGTTATAGTTTAATTGATTAGGTAAATTGATTTGAGTAAAGTTGGATAGAGACTACCAGTGTAATAAACACTTGAATGCAGTTAAATACAGTTTATATGTCCAAACTAGAACGAGATGCGCGCCCTAGGTCCCATTGCAAATCATTATCCATCTTTACTTGAATACATAAGCAATAAAAATTATGTGCTAATATTATACATCAATCTGATGTCTTAAAAATACATGCAGTTCCAAAAATATCTAGTTACAAAAACAATGTACATAGTCTAAAATAGGAATAAAAATCTAGAGTATTATCAACATAGGATTGTGGAGGTTGTTGTGTTCTAATTGAGACCATGAATCGAACAATGTTAGACAGATATACCGGTTCAGTAGTCTGGAGGTTAAGCGTTCGCGAGCGAGACCAAATGTCTTGGGTTTAAATCTCGCGGGCGGTGCCTTGGGTGCGCAATGCTGAAGGGTCTCGTACTAGAACGAAACATCTGTCCAGTGCTTCCAGGTTTTCAATGGTGGTCTAACATTGATCGGTTCATGATCACAATTAAAAGTCCAGAGTATCACTTTATACAGTTATTGTACCGACTTAGTTTAAACAGAAAATCTGCCTGAGTAGACCATATATTTGAAAATCGATAAATGGCAAAAAGGAAACAATTAAAACGTATTTATACAACTGAATACTGTTAGCAGGTTGAAACGGATAGGTAAAACTAGGAAATATTAAATTTGTGGGAAATGAATGAATCTTATCATGTAACCAAGTACAGTTTGGTATTCTCGACGTCACGTCACACTTTCAATGTGAGAACTATGGTGATACCAATCAAGCAGAAATAATTGAAAAGAACATTAACACTACGATGACACTCTTTACATACTTAAACAATTAAAATGCAACTGCGTTATGAATACCTATATATTCTGGAGATAAAAATTTTTAAAATCCTTCATCCAGTCAGTTAAATGAAGGAATTTAGGTTAACGCACACATTATATCAGTTATTCAGTTACCTTAGTTTATGTTTAAAACAAAAAGTGTTAACACTGTTAACGATGTGCCAAATAGTATAATTAAATGATTATAGTATTGAACTCAAGGTTACGACAAAGCACGATCAGTCAGAATTCACTTTGAAACATTTTATATTCCCATTACATCTGTATAATAAATTCCTGAAACATCTTCTGACTAATAATCTTGGTAGTGATCGCTTCATTTGTTGGATAATTTAATGTAATGAAAAATCACTCTGTTAAAAATGCTTAATCAACTTCCTTATGTTTTAACAACTTAGTCAGACCAGCAACGGTCAAAGAGACATTTAGTGAAATTAATTTATCAACTCCTCTAGATGATTAACTCATCAGCATCATTATATATGGTTTGATTTTGTCCTAATCTCATAAAAAATATATAATAAAACTGTCTAATGACATGTAAAGAGCGAAATTCATGTGTAATCTTGTCTCTTTGATATCAACAAACGAGCACAATTATGTAAATTAATGGACTTGAACAAGACGATCTTGAAATGATTCATATCATAGATAATTATTAAAAGAAATCAAAAATAGAGCGGTGTTTTGGATAATAGCTTTAGTTTGATCAAAACTCAGTACACTTCATATATTTAAATAAACTGATTCCAGTAAAATTTAGTTCTGTTATGGGTAATGTAGTCCTCGTTCAATGAATCAAACTTGATAACTTCATTGTAATCTTTTAAAATGTAGTCTCTACTTAGTGATTAATTTTCTTCAGCCAATATCAATTTGTTAAGTGGATTATTTTGAGAATTACATGAATAGATTATATAATATCGTGTGAAATTGATGAAAATTTACCGTTTGTGCCCATCCAGAATAATTTCCCCAAAAATCACTAAGGGAATTTGAGATAATATCATATGATTTTGTAGTCATATTTTTACAGGATGCTTCAGGAATTCCTTTCTCACGTGCAACACGATGCATATGAACATCGATAGGGACAACATTTAATTTATCTAACGACATAAGACATATACAATCTGCAACCTGTGAAAATACAACAATAAAAGAAAAGGAGAATTAAGTTTATCTTAAGGAAAATTAATGAATAAATAACAGTGAAAATTAAAACAAATAGCAAAAGTGTATTAATGTTGTGTTTCAATGTCTTCTTTACGGTATACATATGACAAATTTAATGACTGTTTGTTCTTCTAAATCATGTTAACCAAATATTAGTACAATCAATCAGGATAACTTTCAAAAGTAATCAAACAAACATAACGCAAAACTATTATGTAGAAAAGAGACCATCTAAAAACAACATGTATTAAAATTGTGGTAAAGTTAGGGACATTTGAAGGAAATTTTCAATTGGACATGCTCTATCAGATAGTATACATCAGATAGTGAATTAACGGAGAAAAAACAGATTCTTAGAAATTAAATTCGTATAAGAAAAAAGAAACAGTTTTAAGATTTTACATCTACCTGTATGTAAGTTAGGCAACCATGGAAATTAAACCAAAATTTTATTGAAAACGCGTTAGCAACAAAACTACAATTAAATTTACAATTATTTGCTAGGAAAGTACATAACATAGATCACATATATCTTCAAGAATATTTAGTGACAAATTGATTTATAAACTTTAAGCATTTCACATAGGTATGGATAACTGATTTTTTTTGAAAACAACGATTTGTTAACTAGGTAGATGCAAATTATTGATTCAATTTGTACTCAGAATATTATTTGAAGTTTTGATCTAAACAAATTGAATCATATAGCCATATCCGTGTTGTTTCTTTCTTCCGTTGATCATAGTTTTCAGTTAAATAATATAAGTTTTGAAAAATTGATAAACCAACTACTAATCAGACAACATGAAACTTCACGTCTGCTTATCTCTTTCTCAAACCCATAATCTAATTGATGGTAAATTATGATAAAAATATGAAATAATATTAAACTTAGATGTTACGGAAGATTTTTTTCAGTGTTCAGTTAGTTTCTCATCACAAGTTGACATAACCTGTTATTTATCAATAAAAATCAAAGAGCACTAAATATTTTTTACTCTCAATGAAAATCTAAATTTTAACACTGAAAGAATTCAAGACGAATTTCCGAAGGTCTAGTGAGAGTTAGTGATACGTAGAGTTCATTCATGTCGGAAGTGAGACTGACATTATCATCGATAACAATACATGATGATTTCACCTACATAGTATATTGATTGAACCTGGTTAATCTAAATATCTCAATATAAACGTCAAGAATAAAAAAAGTCAGTCTTACAGAAGAAACATTTCATTTCAATGAATTTTAAATCATGATTTAATACTAATATACAGGTATAAAATGAACACCAAATACATTGTAATGATCAGAAGGGCGTTTTGTGGAGATTTTAGTAATTTTAATTGTTGAGATCATGAGTCGACTGAGGCTAGACCACCATGGAAAACCTGGAAGCACTGGACGGCCGTTTTGTCCTATTGTGGGACTCAGCAGTGCGCGTCCACGATCCCGCCTCGCGTGATTTTAACCCAGGACCTACTGGTCTCGCACGCGAGCATTTAACCACTAGAGCATTGAGCCGGCATCCAACGGTGATCTCAACAATTGAAATTACTAAAATCTCCACAAAAACCCCTTCTGATAATAATCAACATATGCTCACTAGTGACTGGCTTCAACAGGTATATCCTGGAGTTCTAGTGAGAAGCAGTGACAAGTGGAGTTCAACCGGGTCAGTTGTGAGATAGTAACTCACTGATGACAATGGTGGATGTGTCGCTCAATGTCGTGGATTAGTTGAAGTTAGACATTAACACCGTTGGATGCCGGCTCAATGCTCTAGTGGTTGAATGCTCGCGCGCGAGACCAGTAGGTCCTGGGTTAAAATCACGCGAGACGGGATCGTGGATGCGCACTGCTGAGTCCCACAATAGGACGAAACGGCCGTCCAGTGCTTCCAGGTTTTCCATGGTGGTCTAGCTTCAATTGACTTATGATCTCAACAATTGAAATTACATTGTAATGAATCGATTAACCATATATATTTCAGTAATCATTTATAAACTCAACAGTGTAAACTTAAGACAAAATCATATAACTGGTTAAAAACTGCAGCCAACTACGTAGGAATAAAAATAGGAATCGAGGAATGTAAGATTAAGTTGGACATTACTCATTTCAATGTACATGTTTAGTATTATTTGTAATAATATTAATAAGTAATTATTGCGAAGGACGAAGAGAAATTTAAAGAACCAGATTATCAAATGAAATAATATTAGAATAAAATTAACAAATAAGATTGTACAAAATTAAGCACACCTTGGAATTGAGTAGAAGAGTTAGATCAATTAAGAGTTTGGAAAACATGTTTCTGCACACAAAGAGTAGATTTATCCATGTGCAAACCCATGGATTCCGCACTACACAAAAAAAGAGATCCGGTAGTGCAGTGTACGCTTGATAGAATTCTACACATAACTTTGAAAGCTAACTTCGTATCGATTCCGTGACCTGTATCGATTAAATGTGTCAAAACATAGCTTCGTAAAAAATATCACGACATATTTAACCGACTGTACGTTCAATATATAACGAATTGAATATATGTACCATTGAATTATAACTCAATATTGAAAAGATATCCTTCTTTCTGTGAGATCTCAGATCCTAAGTTTAACCTCGGATCACTAGTTTTTACTGCAAAACAATTTTAAACTACAATCACAAAGTCATCTAGTACTCACATACTTGAAATGTTTCTTCCACTAAAACGCTAGTTCGTAATAAAATTAACTTACAAATAAACAGTAAATTGAAATCTACAGACAGTGATTAGTGTAGGAAGAGATGAAAATGAAATATCTATAAGATTCAGTGTTTGAAGTGGTTTAAAATAACTACTTTTAAATACTGATTAGAGGATGCTGCAGTAAATCAGTAGTTGAAACATTTGATTGTTAACCATGAAGTCAGATAATTTGCAGTTCATCGTATACACGTCATTCAGGAAAGCAGATAAGTGTTAACAATAGCATTGAAAGTATTTGAAATATAAGAAAGAAAATAAAATTTAGTGACCTTCTTCCCGATTCCAGGTATTTGAAGCAGAAATGACTGAGCTTCAAAATGGGACATGGAACGAAGTTCAAGTAGACGAGATCGACCTCCATTTTTCAAAAGCCAGTTGGCAGCAAGCCTGAAATAATTGAAACATGAGGACATTCAGGAAAAAGCTCGTAATTTATGAACAAATAGATTTCAGATATTTATAGAATAATTCTTCAAACCATTTCAGATGGATAAGGTAAAAAACAAAGTATTTTTCCTTATGAGCATGAATCAGACATTTATGGAAAGTGTGCAAACTGTTACGATTGTCAGCGACGGGGACCAACGAAACACTACAGAATGACTACATTAATAAACCTCTCATCAGCATTTATAAGGGCATGATAGAAACCGAAATCCATGTCCCTTCGTATACAAAAGTCTATGTTTTAACGATGACAAGATTAAGAACCGGAATCATCACTCTTTGTCGGCATATGTGTATCCTAAACTGACTGTCTCTACAAGTTATAACGAAGTCAGATTGTGGCTAGAAGTGAAATACACAAGGAGCGTTTCGTCTCATTTATAACTAATGTTGACGTTCAAAATGGGTCTCAGACTTAGTACATTACGCCTTAAACTTCAGTGCATTATCCACCTAGCTAATAAGCCCAAATAGCCACTAACATATGGAAAAATCAAACAACTGCGTATAAATCCAAACTCGTTGAACATATCATTGGATACCTAAACCTAGTAGTTAAGTGAGTAACGTGCTGGTGTTTGAAAATAACATTCCACTTCACTGTGAACATTGACAGTCTGATGCAAATATGACAAAACGTCAGTCATGAGCTTCATTGATAGCTACAAGCTAACTTTACTGAGTTGCAACTCGCGCGAGAGATTGATAGGTCCTGGGTTCGGATCCCGCGGGGCGTGGTCGTAGATGCGCACTATTGAGGAGTCCCACAATTGGACGAAACGGTCGTCCAGTGCTTCCAGGTTTCCATGGTGGTCTAGCTTCAATTGACTCATGATCTCAGCTATTGAAATTTGAGTAAGTGTTGGTTTGAAAAACTAAAAAAATTAAAGTAATTAATAAAACATTTAATAATCATTCAAACCTCATCATAAATTAAAGTTGATCTTGTGAAATTTGAAGATGAAGAATCAGTGGAGAGAATAGGAAAGAGAGAGGAGCACTAGACACTTGAATTACTACGATATAAAATCTTTGCAGTACTACTCATAAATGGCCCAATGAAAGGTAGAAATTCAGGATATATATATGCATTGCAATGACCGTCCACTTATTAAGTCCAAATATACTGGCTTAGATTCTTAAAACGTAATAAATTAGTGACCTAATTACTTGATAGGGAACTGCCTCATTTGTTCAACTACATTTAACGTCTTATTAAAATTCCTAGAAAATGTTTTTCGTCATAGGTAAATACAAGACCAGTTAGACGGGTGTTTTATAAAAAGAAGTGGTTGTGGAGACCTTTAGCTCAGGATGATGACTTTAGGTGGAGTTGACATCTTGTGATTTGAAGTGCTGCATAGTTTGGGATGACATTTTCCTATATCATGAATACATATCCACTAAAGTATCATTTAACTCCGCCTGGAGTCCCTTTCGAGGGCCTACTACCGGTACATGGAATGCTCGCACAATGTGGGAGACTGGGAGAGTTTTCCAAATTGCTGCAGAAATGAGGAGATACAATTTGGAGGTGCTTGGGATCAGTGAAACACATTGGACGCAAGTTGGACAACAACGACTAGCTTCAGGGGAGCTGCTGTTATACTCCGGACATGAACAAGAAAATGCTCCACATACACAAGGAGTTGCATTGATGCTGTCCAAACAAGCACAAAATGCACTTATAGGATGGGAGTCTCATGGACCAAGGATCATCAAAGCCTCCTTCAAAACAAAGAAAACGGGGATTACAATGAACGTCATCCAATGCTACGCGCCTACCAATAACTACAATGAAGACGCTAAAGATCAATTCTACGATAGGCTGCAGTCAATCGTCGAGAAGTGCCCAACAAAAGACCTGACTATTCTGGTGGGAGACCTAAATGCCACGGTTGGAATTGATAACACCGGATATGAAGAGATCATGGGACGACACGGACTGGGAGAAAGGAACGAAAATGGTGAGAGATTTGCAAATCTATGTGCCTTCAATAAACTGGTCATAGGCGGGACTATATTCCCACATAAACGCATACACAAAACCACATGGACTTCACCGGATCACAGCACACAGAACCAAATCGACCATATCTGCATCAACAAAAAGTTCAGGAGGACGATGGAGGACGCGAGAACAAAGAGAGGAGCTGATATAGCATCAGATCATCACTTGCTGGTCGCCAAGATGAAATTGAAACTCAAGAGGCACTGGACAATGGGGAGGACAATATCACAAAAATTTAATACGGCTCTTCTTCGGGATAATGAAAAACTCAATACATTCAAGACAACCCTCAGCAATAAGTTCCAGGCCTTTCATGATCTACTCAATGGAGAAGGAACTACTATGGAGAGCAACTGGAAAGAGATAAAAGAGGCAATCACTTCAACATATCATGAGGTTCTGGGCCAAAAGAAGCACCATCACAAGGATTGGATCACGGTCGATACACTGGATAAGATTCAAGAAAGGAGGAACAAGAAAGCAGCAATCAATACCAGTCGAACAAGAGCAGAAAAAGTCAAGGCACAAGCTGAATACACAGAAGTAAACAAGCAAGTGAAAAGGAGCATCAGAACTGACAAACGTAAATATGTGGAAGATTTGGCATTGACGGCGGAAAAGGCTGCCAGAGAAGGAAACATGAGACAACTGTATGAAACAACAAAGAAACTCTCCGGAAATCACCGTAAACCAGAACGACCAGTGAAAAGCAAGGAAGGCAAGATAATCACCAACATTGAAGAACAACGAAACAGGTGGGTAGAACACTTCAAAGAACTCTTGAATCGACCAGCCCCACTGAACCCACCCAACATCGAAGCAACACTCACGGACCTCCCAATTGATGTTGGCGCACCGACAATTGAAGAAATCAGCATGGCTATAAGACAAATCAAGAGTGGCAAAGCAGCAGGACTAGACAGCATTCCAGCAGAGGCACTCAAAGCAGACGTAGCGGCAACTGCAAGGATACTCCAAACTCTCTTCAGAAAGATCTGGGATGAGGAACAGGTACCAAAAGACTGGAAAGAAGGACTTCTGGTCAAAATACCAAAGAAAGGCGATCTCAGCAACTGTGACAACTACAGGGGAATCACTCTTCTTTCAATACCAGGAAAAGTCTTCAACAGGGTATTGTTAAACAGGATGAAGAACTCCGTAGACGCCCAACTTCGAGACCAACAGGCAGGATTCCGTAAGGATAGATCGTGCACAGACCAAATCGCAACTCTACGGATCATTGTGGAACAATCAATTGAATGGAATTAATCGATGTACATCAACTTCATTGACTATGAAAAAGCATTTGATAGCGTGGACAGAACAACCCTATGGAAGCTTCTTCGACACTACGGCGTGCCTCAGAAGATAGTCCATATCATACGGAATTCCTATGATGGATTAAACTGCAAAATCGTTCGTGGAGGACAGTTGAAAAACTCCTTCGAAGTAAAGACCGGTGTCCGGTAAGGTTGCTTACTCTCACCCTTTCTCTTTCTCCTGGTGATCGACTCAGTCAGTCAGTCAGCTGCAACGTAGGACCAGGCACGTATATGCATCGGTCCAAGTTGCCATACCGCATTAGCACAACAAGATGAACACCGGATTCATAGAAGTAGTTAATTCAGTGGTGGTAATATATAGAAGAAAGAGTGTGTATAAGGAGATAGTACAGAAAGATAGAATTAGTTCCTAGAAAGAAAGATTTGAAGTGATTTTATTCTCTTAGTTTAAAGGAAGAAAGAGAGTGTATACACCGACGCCATTGTGATCGATTCTGAGCCATGTCACCAAGAGTCTCCAACCATTGGTTACGATAGTCACGCGGACCCCAACCAGGCAGTCTGCATCTACCAACATTGTTCAGACCAGAAGTTAGTGACTCTGTGGACTGATGCCATGTTTTGGTTTGGCCGCCCCTAACTTCCTTCCAATCATCCCTAACACCGGTTAGCATTGCGCGCCGTGGTAATCGGTGTTCAGGCATACGCAGCACGTGGCCCAACCATCTCAGTCGATGAAGATTCATAACCTCATCAACTGATTTACCATCATTCCCTAATACCCTGTGTCTAACCTGACTATTACTTACCCGGTGATCCCAGCAGATACCCGCAATATTTCTAAGGCATCTGTGGTCAAATACTAGTAGCCTAAGAATATTTTCTACTCTTAAAGGCCATGTTTCGCAGCCGTATAGTAGAACGGAACGAACTGCCGCGCAGTATACTCGTCCCTTAATTGATAGACGGATATCTCGCCTGCGCCATAGATGACGTAAATTGGCAAAGGCCAAGCGAGCTTTTCGAATCTGTGCTGAGATTTCGTCAGACACCAACCCATTAGGGCTGATCAGACTTCCAAGATAAGTGAAGTTGTCAACACTTTCGACCACGTCACTCCTTATCCTTAGTTCAGGTGTTGACACAGACCAGTCCTGAGGCAACAACTTGCATTTAGAGGGAGAGAAGCGCATCCCAAACATTCTGGCATTGTTGCTCAGTGCTACCAAAAGACTCTGCATTTCATCAGCGTCTTCACCAAACAGGAATATGTCATCTGCGTATTCTAAGTCAATAAGTGGACCTCCTGGTAGGAGACCAATCCCCGAAAATTCAGTCGATGAGAGCGTTATTTCCATCAGTAGATCTATGATGAAGTTGAACAAAAATGGAGAAAGTGGACAGCCTTGACGGACCCCACTTGAGGTTGCAAAAGCAGATGACAGTTCGCCTTAAGCTCTCACTCGACTAGTAGTGTTCGAGTAAAGAACCTTCGCAAGGTTTATGTACTTCTGAGGTACGCCTTTCAATGACATACACTGCCACAGAACCTCTCGGTCTACAGAGTCAAACGCTGCTTTTAAATCAAGGAAGACCACCATTGTTGGACGCCGATAAGTATGCCTGTGTTCTAGAACCTGACGAATGGTGAATATGTGGTCGATGCAGCCACGACCAGGTCTGAAGCCAGCCTGATTTTCACGTGTTTGCAGCTCACGAGTCTTAGTTAGACGTCCGAAAATTATCGAACCTAGTATTTTAGATACTATATTAGTCAAACTAATCCCTCTGTGGTTGTCACAGGATGATTTTGACCCTTTCTTAAATATTGGGACGATAAGTGATTGTGACCAGTTAAATGGAATAACGTCTAACTCCCAGATTTTAGCTAAAATATTAGTCAACCTAATCGCTAAAACTAGACCACCATCCTTAAAGACCTCTAGGGCCAATCCATCTGGACCAGCTGCCCTTCCTCGTTTCAGATTAGCTATAGCCTTTTGAACTTTAGCTACAGTTGGGGGACCTACTTCAATGTCCCATTCATACTGTCTGGGAATAGAGGGTAGTTGTAGAGTAGCTGAAGGCCAACTGAATTGCTCCTTAAAATGTTCCGCCCATCGTTCTAAGCGTCTGGACTGGGAGCAGATGAGAGTGTCGTCTTTTTCCGAAATAGTCTGACTTACACTTGATTTATTAATTCCAGTTTCTTTTATTAGTCTGTAGAGTTGTCTTGTGTTCCCTATAGCCGCCGCCTTTTTCATCTCTTTTGCTTTCGTTGCCCACCACTGCTCACGATCATTCCTTAGACTTTTGCTTAACCTAGATCTGATTTCTTTACGCTCTTCATCGTGTTCAGAACCTGATGGGATGAGTTTACGAGGATTTATCAGTGCAATAGACCTTGACGAAATCCATTGGTTCTTTGCAACCCTGTGGTTTAAATTAATAATAGATGTCACTGCTGTTTCCACAGCTGCTTGTATGTCTTTCCAATCAACATCGGGGTCAGCCTCGTTTTCAGAACCACCTAAGTGTGACCTTAGTTGTTCCTGGAACCTACTTTTGGTTTTCTCATTACTCAATTCGGTTCTAATGAGTCTTTTTTGTGTGGCTTTTTTGCGTCCAGTGAGGCGCAAGCAGATGCGTGCTCGTATTAGGGCATGGTTGGAGTCCAAGCAGGTACCCCAGAATGAGCGACAATCTTCTATCGACCCTCTCCAACGATGACTGATGGCAATATGGTCTATTTGAGTCCATCGTTGGTTTGGTGCAGGGGGTCGCCATGTTAAACGATGTCTCTCCTTATGCTTAAAATAAACGATTGTCTGAGCACAGTTGCAGCAGATGATCACCATTATCTGTTCGCTGTGCCGGAATACTAAAATACCCACCTAAATGTCTTTCTGTTTGGTTTAAGCTACCTACCTGGGCATTAAAGTCGCCTGCTACGAGTACTATGTCTGAACTTTTAGCTTTCTGAAGAAGTTCAGACTGCTTTCTGTAAAATTCATCTTTCACTTCATCCGCACTGCAGTCAGTGGGAGCGTAAGCAGAAACGACGAAAAGGCAACGACGTGTGTCCCTATCCTTCCGAGTTCTTACCGAGCCGTTTAGCCGAAAAGCGCATAGACGACTGTTTACGGGGATCCACTCTAATAGCGCTTGTTCCGCCCTCATGCTTAGTGCTATGCCTACACCTGCCAGTCCACGAGAACTAGACATCGGGTCGCCAGATACACGGAGGGTGTATCTCGTTGGCTCTCCGTTTTGCCGAGGTGAGGTCAAGTGAATGACCACACTAGGATCCTGTATGCGTGTTTCGGAGACACAGCATACATCAATGTTACGAGATTCTAAGGTTTTAGCCAAAGAAGCCTGCTGACCGATTTGGCATAGTGTGCGTACGTTGAAGGCTCCAATGTATAGTTTGGAGCGAGGTTTCAGTAGACCTGGGACAGTGTTTTGAGCACTAGAATCGTTGGCTGTGGTGACACTTGAGGAAGCTAAAAGAGGTAGTTTAGATTTGAAAATCGATGTAAGAGGACCTTTTCTAACCCCACCCCTCCTTTTGGGAAGGCAGCATCGCTGTTATGCTGGTTGTCTGAAGGAAACACCTTACTGCTGTCACACCTCTGTACAGTCAACAGTACGACTTCGCCTTCGGATCTTGGTTTTGTTGCTCTGAGTCTTACCGCTCTTCAACCGACCTGTCTGGCATGGTAGGACCTTGAGGAACGGTTGTTCCAGCCAGTATAGCTCAGTTGCTTCATCACGATAGGCAAGCCCGACCACCACGTCAAGGTAGCAACAACGGTCAGGGGTGATCGACTGGATCATGAAGACGTCAACATCTGAAGAGAAGTACGGGATACAGTGGACATCTAGGATGCAGTTGGATGATCTAGACTTCGCAGATGATCTGGCTCTTCTATTATCGCATACGCAACAACAAATGCAGGAGAAGACAACCAGTGTAGCTGCAGCTACAGCAGCAATAGGTCTCAATATACACAAAGGGAAAAGCAAGATTCTCCGATACAACACAGCATGCAACAATCCAATAACAATTGACGGAGAAGATTTGGAAGACGTAAATATCTTTACATATTTGGGCAGTATCATCGATGAACACGGTGGATCTGATGCAGATGTGAAGGCACGGATCGGTAAAGCAAGAGCAGCATATTTACAACTGAAGAACATCTGGAACTCAAAACAATTGGCAAACAACACCAAAGTTAGAACTTTCAATACAAATGTCAAGACAGTTCTACTGTATGGGGCCGAAACCTGGAAAACCACGAAAGCCATCATCCAGAAGATACAGGTGTTTATTAACAGTTGTCTACGCAAAATACTTCGGATCCGTTGGCCGGACACTATTAGCAACAACCTACTGTGGGAAAGAACAAATCAGATCCTAGTGAAGGAAGAAATCAGGAAGAAGCGCTGGAAGTGGATAGGACACACATTGAGGAAAGCACTGAACTGCGTCACGAGAAAAGCCCTCACATGGAATCCTGAAGGTCGAAGGAGGAGTGGAAGACCAAATAACACATTACACCGAGAAATGGAGATAGACATGAAGAAAATGAACAAGAACTGGATGGAACTAGAAAAGAAGGCCCAGGACAGAGTGGGTTGGAGAATGCTGGTCGGTGGCCTATGCTCCATTGGGAGTAACAGGCGTAACAAAATAAATAAATAATAAAGTATCATTTACTTCTCTTTATTCGGCATTTATTCAATAAATCCTTTCATTCAAAATGGATGATAGAAGCATGATATGGCTTTGCCGATTGTCGTGATGTTAATGGTTATAAAGTTGATGAGTATCAAGAATGAACGGTCATCCGTGCATGAGATGCTAAAAATAATCATCGGTATACGTTCGCCAAGGTGGACCCCAAGACCTGTCAAAATATATTTACGTTTCCAATACACCAACTGGTTACATATTAAAATCACCACCAGCGATTTCTGATGTAGAGGTAGAAAGTTTCGATAGAATGTACCATTTACTTCCTCCATGCTACAGTAAGAAAGGGCGTAGACAAAAAAGCTAATGGTGTTTATCCCTACCTTTCTGAGTCCTACTTATATCACAGTCTAACAGCTAGCAACATCTGTCAACAAAAAAACGTTTAAGAAGCGTCTATTCTGGTTTCAAACTTAGTACTATGCCTATCCCCATCATGAGCACAAGAAGTTACTGACGGATATCCAGATACAAGAACAATAGATCAGGCAAGTTCACTATACTAATTGGATGAAGTTAAGCGGATGACCAAGATGGGATCTGGTTTGCATATTTCCCAGACGCATCTCACATCGATGACACGAGATTCTAAAGGCTTATTTAGTAAATATACCTAATACAGAATTCGATAATTCAAGGGTCATTTTGAAATAAGACAATCAGAAAGTGTATCGATAAACTAATGATAAAACATAATATATAGAATTGTATAAAAAGGTCCCAGTGAACACAAAAATAATTGTAAATAGTGAACACCCACGTAATAAACTTGGAACGATAACCAAAACCAATTTTTTTTAAATTATCCTGCATTCCAGGTTGTGCAAGTATTTCAAGTGATGGAAATGTCCAATGCCTTAGATCACCATTTCCCAAGTACAATGGATTACCATATTCACTACACAATTTACAGAGTAATTTAGTAATTCTTGTTAGATTATTATTAGCTGATGTAATGAAAGAGAATAATGTTTCTTCTGGATCTTGTCTTAATAAGCGTAAACCACGAGCTGTATCCATTTGACAATTTTTAGAGAAACGATTCTCAAACCATTTATCCTTTAAACACCATTCCTTTACAAGATCAGATAAATTCACATCCAATCTAAAGTAATCACGTAAATCAAAAGGAACATCGTTTGATTTTATATCCGATTTTTTCTCAAAATAATATTCAACTGGGTTAGAAACCTCCATTTGACGTAATCTCCATAAGTGACCATTTATTACTCCATGCCATTCATTCAGAGTTGAATTAAAAACCCAGCTATAGTATGGAGAAACAAATGTATAAAATTGAACAGTAAGTCTACTTCATGGGAAACAAATATTACTTTAGTTTGTTTAATGATTTGCAGAACTAACAAGTAAAGAATGTGGAGAATGAAACTATACCTAGTATATTTTGGTGGGTTTATGATTATAATAATTGTTTAGCTCAGTTAACATTCGCTATCTAAGAAGACATGATCATAAGAAAGTTAACCTACGAATAATAAGCAGTATACAATTATCAACCCAAATACCAATTGTCTAGATAAACTACTAACTAAACATTCTTGAGAAAAATGAATGAAGCTGAAATTCGGTTTACTGCCATCTAAGTTATAATGATAAACTAGGCGAGACGATAATTTATGGAAGAACTAATCAGGTATAAGGTAGCAGGTCTCGGATTTTGGCGCGAAATTCACTCATCCATTTGGCTAAATAGCATTTTGGCAGTATAGCTTATGTCAGCTTGTGATGAAAACCCTAAATTTTTACAATTTATGATGAGACTATAATTTATGGACGATATTTAGGCGACGTTAAAACGACCATGAGAATATCCACCTACTAACTAGGATTAAATGAGGGTTAAAAACAGTGAGATTTACAGTTGATAGTCAGGGTTAGGAACCAGATTTAAGGTTTTTATCACGAACTGACATTAGCTAAAATGCTTGAACGCTATTTAGTCAAATTGATGAATAAATTTCGCACCAACATCCACGACCTATTATTTTATATCTGTCTGATTCGTCCATAAATTATAATCTCACCCGACTTATTTATTAAGATAAACAGAATACATATGATGAAGATTTTCTTTTGACAATTCTGGAATATATATCGTTCTCCACAACCTACGTATCACGGGGCATCAGTTGATAGGCTTATTTGCTTAACAACTGAATCAACAAAGATTGATAAATTCAGTTAGGTATGCTAATACCCCAATCTATTCAGTTGTCGATCTTTTGAAATGACAGTTTCAGACTTAATTTAAACTCAGATTATAAATTCCACACACTACAACAATCATGTGTAGGTAAAACTGTATATATTTCTAGTTGTGATACATCAAGAGGATTTTTGTTCCAAACTAAGGGAGACGGATCACGTTTAGACGTGAAAGATGACTAAAAACAATGAGTTTCCAGTTTTTATAGAGATTGTAAAGAAGATGAATCCAGAATAAAGTGGAAACTACTCGCAGGAAAAGACCATCAGTTACATATAGAAGAATTATATCAGGCATTATTTTGAGAAATAATCGACTAAAAATATTCTTCTTAAAAGTAGCTACAAAACCATTTAGTATGAAAAATTAGGTGTAGAGAATAACAGAAAAGCATGATAATGAACACGAAGCTTCACTTGCTAGTATCAACATAAACGTCTTTCACGTTTTTCGCTTTTAGAGATGAACATAACAATCACCGCGTTACGAGGCATTCACAACGCGTTGAGTACAGCAACAACCGTATTTTTGAGTTATAAATTATTTATAAAATGAATGGTGATTAACATTCAATTTTTAACGGAAGAAAATTTTTCTAGGATAAAGTTTTTTATCGGGAAAAACTTTTAATAATAAGGTGGTAGATCAGATTTTATTTTACGATCACTTGTATACTACTTTTTGAAACTCAACATTTTGTAAATCTAGCGAAAATATGAAGTAGTAACCTCTACCTAAAAGAAACTCGGAATGTCTCAGACCGAAATCGTACTACAGGAAACATATTGTACCCGTTATCAACCAGTAAAATCTAGACAAATTATTATTTTTTACGTGAACAAAGTGAAAATCTAAATCTCTACCAAAGATTTGTATCCTTCAGTGGAAACGTTGATAAACAATACGATAACAACATACCGTTCCTATATGCTCTGTGAGAAAATGTTAACTTGCTCAATACTGTATATTAAAAGATTATGAAATAGTTGTTTCTATGCGTTTGTAACAATGTAACTCAGAACTAAACTACATAGATATGGATAGATCACAAGATGTATTCTGACGATTAAGTGGGATATGGTATTTTTGAAAGTATAATAACAGTAAATTGTAAGTTAGGCTATTGGATGCTATTTGGAATATTAGCAAATTTATCTAGACAATTAAATTAACACTAACAATATCAATAACAGACAAGCACATAACAAAACTTCATGTGAAGTATTTTACCAAAATCTTACAAAGTTTTTTAAGCATTTTAGAATCAGATCCCATTTAACAAAATTTTTTAGTTCCCTATTTTGCTGTAATACAAATAAGATCAATATCATTAGTTTACTGAAAAAAAAAACAATTTACTTAAGTTCCTAAAAAAGCGATACCCACCGGAAAGCTTGACCACTATTTAAAGTCGTAAACAAATTGAAATCCTGTGGATCTACAGGAATTGAATGCCAATTATTAACTTGTCTCTAAAACAAAAATATAGGTCAATGGAAGACAATTTTCGATCTCAATATTGGATTGTCTTGGATGAAAAAAGTTTAAAATATAAATTCCGAACTAAGCATCAAGTGTTTGATTTGTGTAAAATTTCATAAGTTTGAATTTGTAGAAGCAATATAGAGGGTTAGCGTAAGCTTATGTCACAAACTTTCTGACACTTAAATATACTGAAGTCGGCTTATTAAAAAACCATAACCACCAGTGATTTACCATGATGCTATGAAAACTGCAATACCTTATTCAACGCATTAACAACTGACAATAGTTATGCAATTATTTCGAGAAAATAATTCAGCCTACGACGATGCGAATATCTATATAGTCAGTCAGTCAGTAACAACGTGGAACTTCGTACGTACGTACATCAGTTCGAGTTGCCATACCACATTACCACAGACATTCAGTTATCGATTCGAATCCCATAGTGGTAGAGGTACTGAAAGTATAAGTAGAGATAGGGGACATTAAGGTTTGATGATGTTATTAAAGGAGTATAGTCCAGTGGAATATATTTGGAAAGAAAATAAAGGACATGAAGAATTCAGAAGATTAGAGTTTGAGAGAACACAAAGAGTGGATGCACCTGCGCCATTGCAAACGATTTTGAGCCATATCAATCAAGATCTCTAACCATCGGTTGCTATCATCTTGCGGACCCCAACCAGGTAGTCTATGCCTACCAACATGACTCAGTCCACTTGTCAGTGACTTCATGGATTTCTGCCATGTTTTGGTCTGGCCGCCCCTAGCTTTCTTCCAACCTACTCCTACACGAGAAACCATCGCACGTCGGGGCAGTCGGTGATCGGGCATGTGCAACACATGTCCCAGCCATCTCAATTGATTAAGTTTCACTACTTCCTCAATTGATTTGCCATCCTTACCTAGTACCCGTTTCATAACAACTGCATTACCTAATCGGTGGTCCCAGGATATACGAGCGATGTTTCGAAGACACCTATGATCAAATACTAGTAACCTACGAATATCCTCTACTCTTACTGGCCATGTTTCACTGCCACAAAGTAGGATGGATCGGAATGCTGCGCAATTGGCAAAAGCTAGTCGAGCCTTCTGTATCCGTGCTGAGATTTTGTCACACACCAGACCACAAGGGCTGATGAGACTTCCGAGATAAGTGAAGCGGTCGACACACTCAACTACTTCACTCCCTATCACTAGTTCGGGTGTCGATGCGACCCAACACTGAAGCCATAAGCTCTCACTCGACCAGTTGTGTTCGAGTAGAGAGCTTTTACAATGGTAATGTACTTCTTTGGTACTCCTATCAGTGACAAACACTTCTGTACAACCTCACGATCATCAGAGTCGAATGCCGCCTTAATTTTGAGAAATACTAAGATTGTGGAGTGTCTGAATGTGTGTTTATGTTCAAGGACCTGACGTGGTTTGAGTATCTGGTCCATACAACCACGTCCAGGTCGAAAACCAGCCTGGTTTTCTCTATTCTGCTCTTCACGAGCTTTGGTTAGACGTCGAAGTATTATTGAAGCTAATATTTTAGACACTATTTTAGTCAAACTAATTCCTCTGTGATTGTCACAGGAGGACTTTTGTCCTTTCTTATAGACTGGCACAATCAGTGATTGAGACCAGTCAGATGGGATTACATCCAGTTCCCAGATTCTACCTAAGACCTCAGTCAATCTCGCTGCTAATACTGGAGCGCCATCCTTAAAAATCTCAGGGGTAAACCTGTTAGGGCCTGCTGCTCTCCCACGCTTCAGATTTACTATAGCTTTTTCAACTTCGTAAACAGTCGGAGGACTTACATCAACTTGCCATTCAGGTCGACTGGAGATCGTGGGGAACCGAAGTGTGGCTGAAGGCCAGTTGAACTGATCCCTAAAGTGTTCTGCCCATCAATCCAATCTCTTGGATTGAGAATGTATAGTATGTCCATCTTTTTCCGAGATTGTTTCGCTAACAGTTGTGTTCCGCTCTTCGTTATGTTCAGAGCCAGATGGAATGAGTTTTCGAGCATCTATCAGTGCGGTAGATGCTGCTGAGATCCAGTGTTTCTCCCTAACCTTATGGTTTACCGTACTTGCAGACATCACTGCTGTTTCTACAGCTTTTCGGATGTCATTCCACGCTGCCTCGGGGTGAGCGTCACTTCCATGGCTGCCCAACTGTTTTTCTAGTTGTTCCTGAAATATACTCTTAGCTTGGGTATCATTAAGTAGGACCCTAAGGGGTTTCCTTGCACGATCTTTCCTGCGTCCAGTAAGATGTAGACAAATACGTGCTCTCACTAGATCATGATCTGAGTCTAAGCATGTGCTCCAGAATGAGAGACAATCTTCTATCGAGCCCCTCCATCAGTGGCTGATATCGATGTGATCTATTTGGGTCCAACGTTGGGACGAATTAGGGGGTCGCCATGTCAAAAGATGTTTTTCCTTATGCTTAAAGTTAGTGTTTACAAGAAACAGGCAGTTATCTGAGCATAGCTGCAACAGACGGTCGCCGTTATCTGTTCTCTGTGCCATAACACCATCAGATCCACCCAGGTGTCTCTCCATTTCGCTTAGTTCAGCTAATTGAGCATTAAAGTCATGAGCCACTATTACTACATCACAGCGCCTAACGTTTTGGAGTAGGCCAGAAATCTTTCCGCAAAACTCATCTTTTACATGATCTGAGCTGCAGTTAGTGGGAGAATAGGCAGAGATGACGAAGAGGCAACGACGAGTGTCCCTATCTTTCCGAGTCCTTACTGTTCTGTTTAGTTGGACAGCGCACAGACGACTGTCTACTGTGATCCAGTCTAAGAGAGCTAGTTCTGCCCAAGGACTTAATGCTATACTTACGCCAGCGATGCCACGGGATGCAGCATCAGGGCTTCCAGATACACGAAGCGTAAATCGAGTTGGCTCGTTACTTTGACATGGTGAGGTCAAATGAATGACACTACTAGGATCCTGTGTGCGCGTTTCGGAGACGCAGCACACATCGATGGAGCGAGATTCTAAAGTCTTAGCTAAGAAAGCCTGTTGTCCTATTTGGCACAGTGTTTGGACGTTGAAAGCTCCTACGTGTAGTTTGGAGCGTGGTTTCAGGAGACCAGGAATAACATGCCGCGTACTCGAATCGTTTGCACTAGCAGGGCGAGCTGATAAAGGGACGTAAGAAGAGTTAGTCGTGGAGATAAGAGAGTTATTAGGAGGTGTAGGAAGGATTTGAATGTGACCAACTTGGTCTCGTGTGCTGTTACGGGTATGAGTGCTGATGTCACTTCCCGGCTGCCCACACCGTGGAAGGGTATTTCTTGAGGGACGTGAAAAGGAAATCGGATTAGTGTTGGTCTTAGCGACCTGGGTGCGTGACCGCAGAGCCCAAGGGACAACTGCTTGAGGCCGGTCGCGCACGGCCTTTTTGTGGGAGGTTTTTAATGTGTTAGCTCCGTTCTTCAAAATGCCTTACCGCCGGAGACGGAAATCCGTGGCGTAAGGTGAGGTGTGACATTTTTAAGGTCAACCATTTCTAACCCCTTCCTTCCTTGTGAGAAGACAGCATCACTGTTATGCTGGTTGTCCGAGGGAGACGCCTTACTGCTGTCACACCTCTATACAGTCAGCAGTACGACTTCGCCCTCAGACCTTGAGTTGCTGCTTTTAGTCTTGCCGTTCTCCAAAAGACCTACCTGGCATGGTAGAACCTGCAGGAACATGTGTTCCAGCCAATATAGCTCAGTTGGGTCATCACGATAGGCAAGCCCGACCACCACGTCAAGGTAGCAGCTACGGTCGGGTATATCTATATAACTGAAATGGTGTGAAAATTTCCTCATGAACTAAATAGTAGTAGGATCAAACGAAAACGTGGCATTAGCTCATGAAATTAAAGATTTTTGTACAGGCCTATGTTGTTTAATAGTTTCAGAATGCTTAGTTAGGGTTGCCGCGATAACCGCAATCAGTGGTTGAATACGTCGAGTGGCATGGCTCAAAATCGATTACAACAGAACAAGCACACCTATTTCATTGTAGAACTTGACTTCCAGTATTCCGTTAATCTTTAGGAACGATATTTTAAATGATTAGTTTCTTATCACCATTGTTACCAACATTATTCCCTTCCCATATTCATTTAGCCATGCTTTAGTACGAAAACTTAAACTAATGTATATTTTCAGTAGACTCTACGTTGATTATAATAAATTGATGGTGGTCTGACATGTACTGAAACAAATTTGAAATAAAGTAAGCATAGAATAATTCATTAAATCACGCGCCTTAAAAAATATAAGCATATCAATTTCTTATCTTCTAAACACATTAAAAAAATACTTGTTTTCTAATACTGATTTCCGGTAGTTTCGACAATATCATCTAAACGATTATGCTTGATGACGTTTTAATGTCAGTAACTGAAACAAACACACTAAGAATATGTATTATATTCAATCAGCGACGTAACAACCACGTTAATCCCATCGACATAGTGAATATTTTTATTGAGTAAAAACAAAAGCTATTAAAATGAACTAATGATTAACAATTAGACGAACAAACATACATTATACACACCCATCCACTCATTTTTCCATACACAGCATTGACAACAAATTCAATGATTCCAAAACGAAAACCGTAATTCTGACTAATTGAAACTTCATATATATATATATATATATATATATATATATATATATATATATATATATATATATATATATATATATATATATATATTACAAAACAAATCACGAACAATAAATAATATGCTTTAACACTTTCGGAGCCTAACATAAAAGCAACAGTAACAAAGATAACAAATAAGGAGGGAGAAAAAGAGAATCAAATTGTTTGAGAATCTCCATAATAATAATAATAATAATAATAATAATAATAATAATAATAATAATAATAATAATAATAATAATAATGATTATTATCATCAGTGTAGTGAAACGATGACATTTATAATAGAACAAACAATTGGAAATAATTATTATTTTCATTTAAAAAAAAATTAATTTTCTAACTTTATATTTATAGAAATGCAAAATAAATCACAATGAATGTGGAGTGATTGATTAATGAATTTGGTGAAGCCAATTAACACGTGTCTCAGTAACTGAATGAATATAGATGATCATAAGATGGTAACAAAAATTAATCCCCATTAAAATTAGGTGATAACCATAATGATTATGATGACTACATGTCACAATATGGCGAACACGCAAAACAGAACATCGTTATTATTACTACTATCATAGAATCCCATGAAATAATAAACAAGTAATGACTAAGACAATCATAAAGAGATTGAAAACTAACTAACAAATAATATTCTACAAGTAAGTAAGTAAGTAGGTAGGTATAAGTAAAACTAAATAATCAAACGGTACAGAAGAGGGGTAGGCATAGAGATAAAGGTGAAAGAAAACACTAGTATAAAACAGAAATGAGTAAATCAAATACAATTCAATCAGGAATGCACATAATTATGTGCATGTAAAACTAGAGAAAGATTTTTATTCTAAGGACAAAGTAGAAAACATATTTGCCTTTTACTTTTAAAAGTTTTATCAAAAGAGAAAACAACAACGGCAACGACATTAATAACAACGACATATATATATATATATATATATATATATATATATATATAAAGGGAATGATAAAGAATTCTGATTGCTTATCGTCATCAATATTATTAATGTTATAAATCTATTTTTTGTCAAGATGAAACCACATTGCAATATAAATTATAAAGAATGTTCCATTGGATTGGTCCATCATAGTCACATTAACATTGATCAAATTATTAATTGAATATGAACAACAATAGTAACAATGATGACAAAACTATTCAATTCAGATCAATTGTTCAATGAGATTGGTTAAATGAGATGAGACGATTTCTCTTGTACTGCGAATAGTTAGGCAATACATCTAAAAGAAAGAAAAAAATAAGAAGGAAACGAGAAAAAAAGACTTTTAATTTATTAATTGAAAAAAAACGGTAATTAGTAAGACCACTTATGTATAGTTGGTAGTATACATATATCAGTGAAAAACATCCAATTGATAATGGGATTTAGACTTAATTGTATTACAGAAACCTGTAATTAGATGAAAACTATTCATAATGATACAATTGGATTAAACTACTTCTACATTGTACTTACAAAAAGTAATGAACATGTATTTTATATTGTAACAATCAAATTGTGATCTATTTGATTAATCTTTTCATCTAGTTCACATTTAATGAATAACGTTGTATTAATATTATAATTCCTATTTCTATACTAATAACAGAGTAAATTAATTTGAATCAAATTATATCAGAGTAATGTAACTTTATTTATCATGTACTATTTATCAATAACAATTATGACTGTAACGTTATTTGATATCTAGGGAAGGATCCACCAATAACAACCCTGGTTATAGTGTCTCTACGTAGAGTACACTATTTTGTCCATAACTTATCGTCCTAAATTTTGACCATTGATAAGCTTTGACTAGCAACATTAACTTTGAGTTGAGGTCCAGTTAATTGTAACTCATTGTTCCTACGATATACACGCCTTCTAACATCCGCAGTTTTGAATTTCAATAGCACAACAAACAAAATAAGATAGCTTCGATCACGATATTTCGGGCATTCAGTATATTTACACCAAACATTTATTAATTTATTTGGAAGTATTATTGGATTGGAACCCACCCTCAATTAATAAATCACCCTTTATACACAATCATGACATAAGTAGCAAGAAACGAAGTAAGCAGTGGTTAGCAATCACTAAGGAATATTAAAACGTGTAACAAAATTCAGTAGGTTTGAAGTAAGCTCATAATACAGGTAAACAACAATACAGTAGTCTAGTAATTTAATAAATATACAGTAATAATGAATGCTTCAAATTTTTTTCGAATAATTTAAATATCTTATTAAAAGTTCGAGTATGAAGTTAATAGGTTTCATATTGCCAAATTAAGAAAAAAATGAATCTCATGTTTCGGTTAATTTGACAATTATTTCAGTTCAGAATTATGAAACGAAATTGTATTTAAACGACTATTCAGAGAATTTCCTATAGGTAAGAGAAATTTCGCTAAAAACAAAGTATTTTAGTACATTAGCAAATGACAGCTCCGAAATTTCTATTTTGTAATTACATTACTTTCAAAAAAAGTAGTATGATGAGTGTAGAATAATTTTTTTCGCCATGCTATCGCAAAATGACGCACAAGTCGTCTATCCATATATAAAGGTTATCAGAAGAAAGAATTCGACAATGATAAATAGTGAATGATCTGGCCGACTTTTTATCATGCACAAACATGAATAACAATTTTCGAATATCTCAAGAACATAAATGATAATCGTAAACAAGAAAATAGGATGATTTCAAGTGTTCTATATTCCAAGAAGCATTAATCACCTCAACGTTGAAGCTATATTAGACTGAAAACCGGCCTCATGTAAGTTATTTTAGGTAGCTCGATGTTAGTATTATTCAACACAAAGACGTTGGCACAGAGTCACGCTCAAGAATTAATAGTTGATCATTATGTTGCACTACTTTATAAAGTACTATGTTGACGGGTATCAACATACAAGAAACCGAGGTTCTACATTTTATGTCAAGCATAACACTATTCAAGTAACAACAAAATAGATCTAACGATCTGGAAGATTATAAATGTTTCGACTACATATTGTTCATAGAGTATCCGCCAAAAAATGTAAACAGGAAGAAAATTTATTTTCAGTATAATTACATCTGATAGTTAGGCTAAAAAAATTAACTTATGTATCTATTATAAAAGTATTCCACCGATTAACTATTATAAAAGTAATTCATTAAAAAATGAATAAATTTACTACAGCAACTAGCTATTTGAGGGATCCTAACCAATCAGGGGAAAAGTCTGCCTGGTTACTTTCATTTATACAAACTCTCTGGGATAATAAACAATCAATACTTTTATTATGATAGTATGTATAAATAGGCACTCATCCCCCAAGTCCCATTTTTAAAATCCCATCCACCTATTTTGATTTGTACAACCGACTAGTATCATGAGGTCTTAAAATTACAGTGCGGCTCAAAGCCAAGAATATGTATCTGCGTATATATCTAGCAAATAAGTGAAAAATTATTTTTAACAAAAATTAGTGTATTAATTACGAGGGTGCGTTCGATAATTAAAAATCTACCTTTAATTGTGTATTCGGTTCCAATCTAAGTAGTACACCGACTTGTTGACTACTAGTTACAACAATACCTGCACCAACAACATTATTTGGATTAGGATCAATGCCATCCAGTAAAGCGAATCCAAAGTTTTTAGTCTACAAATAAATATAACAGCGAACATAATGAAAATATTTATTTTATATGAAGAAGTCAACGTGAACAGCAGTGTTACTGACAAAAACAAAATAAAGATACGATCAATAGAATTTTAAGTAAAAATATGATGTGAACGAATGAGATTTACATTTACTCCAAAGATAAGGACTACCACACAATAAACACTACTATATAGTCATTCAGTAGCGTTATTTAGCAATAGAAATAACCAGTATGCTGGTAAAATTGAGATTAACAAAAGTACAGTTTCGAATTACTAGTCATTATGAAATGGTATTTTGACAAAAATTGAATAAGCGATATACGCAACAGAAAAAAGAAACATTGTGTGAATCTCAGTTATTCATTAGGTGATTGAAATAGAATTTCAGAAAATGAAAAAAAACTCATTCATCTAAGATAGTATCGTATAATCAGACTATGGGTTCAATATACAATTAAGAGAGTCTAAATACTCGTAAATCTTGATTTTATTTTAAATTGTTAAATCTATGTGTAAACCATGAATTAGGTTAAGTAGATAATGTTCAAATTTAAGTAACACATTAAATTTACATACACCTTGTAGATATATTGACATAAGGTATATTTTATGAAAACTAATAATGATATACGGATTTCCTTCATGGCATGTTTTAGTGAAGCGAATTACTTGTCTACTGTTAGGAGATAAGAATACTTCAGAATATGTATTATGTGATTTGCAGTATCGGTAAATCGTATGATTTAACGAGCAAGAACTAATCAGATTTGTTCGGTGTATCAGTATTTTGTTTTGTTGATATCGATTAGCAAACTATTTCCTTGACTCTGAAGTATGGAATGGTATAGATGGATTCAATATATGAACAAAAGGAATGACAAACGTAAAGAATGATAGGTCCAAAAAACGTATGTTCAAATTCCCTAAACTGTCACCAAATAATGATGGACTCATTCACTGGAATACCTTATTAATATAAGCATAGATGGTTAGCTTTGAAATATAGTCTTTCTCTTGTATGATGAAAAAGATAGAATTTTTACCAAACTTACTATATGTTATGATTTGATGTCCGGCTTACGATCACGTGACTTATACACCAATCAGAATACGGCTTATACGAATATTCGCACTATGACAAGACCAATGACGTTCAACCGGTCTGAGCAGTCTAGCGTCCTATTGGGTCCTACGTCCTTCTAACCCGTCCTCTTGAGTCCAGAACACAAAAGCAGCTTCCGAATCAACCAAATCATTTATTTCAGACATACTCGGTTTATATATCAATCAGGCAGACCACAACGTACCATAAAATAGAAAATAACATATGTACACAAATAGGCCAAAAAGTGGCTGTGAATGTGGGAGACAGTAATTAATAGACAGGTTATAACTCAAGAATAATAAATCGTATAGTAATAATGTATGGGTCAAAATAAAGCTTATAATAAGTGGAATATAAATACACATAATGTAATTCTTGAATAATTATACAATAAGAATATTTATAGAATATTAGTCCATTAATAGTCCTCGAAAGTTACCTGTAGTTTAATCTTCACTGGTATATAACACCTCCCTTTTTTTTTGAAGCATTAGAGATAATAACGATCCTTAGGATTTATTTTTATTCGATTAGGTTCCCGCCTGATACGCTGCGACCTCCTGGGGAGTGTTGTATGTGTCCTGTTATTTTTCGGGTCATTTTTAATTTCATTATCCGACTCAGTTAATATATTTATTGGTATACTCGACTTTATATCATTTCCTGTCTCCCGCTCCTGTATGGTTGGCTGCATCTGGTTTGCGTGTCGCACCCATATCTTTTGTCCAACTTTTACTTCATAGATAACCTTCCCTTTTTTTCGTATTATGATGCCAAACTTCCAGGTTGGCTTTACTCCCGCGAAATCTCTTACTATTACGGCTTGTCCCACCTTAAAGCTTCTGGGCAATGCACCATGTCGCTTGTTGAATTGCTGTTCCATTCGTTTGTTCTTGCGGAGGTTGGCTGTAGGTTTTGGTTTCATTTGCTCTATAGGTATTCTAATCTTTCTCCCAAAAATTGCTTCTGCTGGACTTTCTTGATTATTTGTTGTTGGGTTGGGTATTGCTCTGTAGGTTTGTAAGAATCTTTGGATAATCTCTTCTATTTCCCCGTCTCCTTCGGCTTTAAGCAGTGCTCTTTTAAACGTATCGACGAACCTCTCCACTAGACCATTTGACTGCGGATGATATGGGGGTGTCTTTATGTGCCTGACGGTGTTTGCGACACAGAACTTCGAGAATTCAGCAGAGGTAAACTGTGGTCCATTATCAGACACCAGTACATCTGGACACCCAAAGCAACTGAATACTTGTCTCAGTTTTTCGATAGTAGCTTTTGTCGAAAGAGACTTCATGCAGTGGATCTCTGGCCATTTTGAGAAGGCATCAACCATCACCAAGTACTGTTTCCCGTTTATGGGACCTGCGAAATCCACATGTACTCTTGACCACGGATATTCCGGTGTCCCCCAACTCTGCATTTCTGTCTTGCGAGGGGCTTTGATAGCTTTTGCGCACGCGGAACATCTCTCAACATAGTCTTTGATCTGAGCGTCAATATTCGGCCAATATACATACCCACGTGCAAGTGCTTTCATCCGTGCTATCCCTGGGTGTGCAGCATGCAGTTCTGACATCACCTTACGGCGTAAGTTTGTGGGTACAATTACTCGATTTCCAAACATCAAGCACCCATCCACAAGTGATAGAGAATTTCGACGGTGAGAATACTGTTCAATATTTTTGTTGTCTATATGGGTAGGCCAACCATGTTCGAGGTATCGAATAATCTGCCTCAGCTCATCGTCTTCTTGAGTATGGTGTTTAATGTCTTCAGAGGATAACGGTGTTGCTTTTATGTCAACTTGTAGTATATGATGAATATCATTTTCCAACGATATCGTCGCGATAATAGAATCTTCGCTTTCCTGCTTCTGATTCGCAATTAATCTGGATAAAGCATCAGCTTGTCCAAACTTTTCAGTTGATTTATATAGGATTTGGAAATCGTAAGCAAGCAGCGTAATAGCCCAGCGTTGTAATCGATTCGCTGTATATGCAGGAATACCTGACTTCGATCCAAATATAGATAAAAGCGGCTTGTGGTCCGTTAAGAGAGTAAATCGACGACCATAAATCATTTTATGGAATTTCTTTACTGCAAAAACTAAAGCTAGTCCTTCCTTCTCAATCTGACTATATTTTTGCCCAGCTGAGTTAAGAGTTCGGGATACATGAGCAATTGGCTTTTCTTTACCATCAGGAAAACGATGGCTGATAACAGCCCCAATCCCATAGTTTGAAGCATCGGCGGCTACAATTATTTCAAGCTTAGGATTATAATGAGTCAGCAACAATTTAGAAGATAAAATCCTTTTTATTTCATCGAAAGAATCTTGACATTCCTTTGTCCAGTTCCATGTTGCATTAGCCATCAAGATTTGATTTAATGGATGTCGTAATTTATACATATGGGGTACGAACATACTATAATAACCAATCATCCCCAAAAATGAGCGAAGAGTTGTAACCTCAGTCGGTCTGGGCATATTTTTGATGGCATTAATATTATCTGGATCTGGTCGACGACCATTTTTATCAAATATATATCCAAGGTACTTAACAGACTCGAGCTGAAGTTCACACTTTTCTTTTTGTAACTGAAAACCGGCTTGTGATATTTTTGTGAGCACCACATCTAACCGACCCATTAATTCCTGCACAGAAGAGCCAACGACTATAATGTCATCCAAATAAACTGCTACACCTTCGACGTTAGACACCATAGTATCCATTATTTGCTGGAAAATTGCTGGGGCTGGCTTAACACCAAACGGTAATCGGTTAAACCGATAGAGTCCGCGGTGGGTATTAATGGTTAATAACTCCTTTGAATCTTCGTCAACTTCTACTTGTAAATAAGCTTCAGACAAATCAAGTTTAGAAAAATAACGTTCACCGTTCAGTTTAATAAATAAATCCTCTGGCAGAGGTAATGGGTATGAATGACTTTGTAGAGCGTTATTTAGTCCTGTTGAAAAATCTGCACAGAGGCGAATAGCTCCGTTCGCTTTCTGAACCACTACAATTGGTGCTGCCCATGCCGAATAATTGATAGGTTGTATAACACCGAGCTTCTCCAGTCGGTCTAATTCTTTGTCGACTTTGTCAATAGCAGCATATGGGACTTGACGTTTTGGACGGAAAACAGGTTTTGCATCCTGTCGTAAGTATAATTTCGCCTTCTCAATTGTGCAGCATCCCAGCTTATTCTGGAACAAGTTTTTATGCTTCTGCAAAAGATCTTCTATCGTTAGGACTTTCTTAGTTACATGGACTGTGGGTGGATCGCTAGGATTATTTGCGCTTTTCATCAAGCGTATTTCGCTTAATGGTACATCCCATAAATTTAGTTTATCTATCCAGTCTATACCAATAAGGTCTAATTCATGTCTGTTCGTTAAGTAACAATTTCTTGTAAAGTAATTACCTCGGAATTAAACAGAACATTTTATCATTCCAACAAGTTTTAATATATCTCCGGACGCATTCCGTGCAGTGTGCTCTGTTGGTAATACTTTCGGACACCCAATCAAATCCCACGTTCGTTTCGAGATAAGTATGATATCTGATGCTGTGTCCAATTGCAATCGAACAAGAACACCATTAACCATTAATTCCACATATCTTCTTTTATCCGCTCCGCTTAGAGCCAATGTGGAATATATACTGTTTATATACTTATTTTGGTACTGGTGAGGACGCCTGGTTTGTTTCGATCTCAAACTTTCTTTGGTTCGGCAGACTGTCTCTTTGTGGCCAACTTTATTGCATATAGTGCATTTATGATTTTTAAACCGACAAAATCTTGAGAAATGCCACGCACCACAATACCAACATTTAGTTGCAGGTTTAGGAGTTTTCGAGTGATATTTATGAATTTTGGTGCTATTTTGTCTTTGACTTGTCTTGACAGCATGAACAGAATTTGATGGCGCTGCACTTTTAGTTTCCAGCATAGCTGTATCTTGTTTTAAGTTTATTAATCGTTGACATACAGTGGTGATAGTTTGTAACGTCATTTCATCATCATGTTCCATACGGGATAACAATTTCATGCGAAAATCAGCATCAACAGGAGAGTTTAGACCAGAAATGAATAATAAACATTTAAATTGATCACTGGTTAATACATTTAATTTAAATCGTTCTGCTTGCAAATTTACTATTCCGGCGTACGTGGTGTAGTCTTCATCAGCCTCTTAAGTCAGCTGTAGACAGTTATACCGGATACGGAATAAGGACGCCTGTTCACAAAACATTTTATTTAGGAGGTTAACAGTTTCTTCGAAACTAGCTTCTCGTGAGTGTTTAGGCAGGATATGGTTTTTATACTTTTGATGCTCATTAGGACCAAGCTTCTGTAAGAGCAGCCGGACTTTCTTCGAGTCATCCATAGCAGCAAAATCCACTCGGAAAATATCTTCGATTCTGCCAAACCATGCTTCAAAAGCGTGACCACTGTCTGCATCAAATATAAATTCTGAAACTGGATTAAGACATGACTCGATACTTTTATGTTCTGGAATATCTTGTTGGATAGATAGCTTCCCCAAAAGTGTTTCTAGGAATTTCTGTTGAGAAGCTAACATCTGCTGCTGTTGTTGTTGCTGCTGTTGCTGAAATTGTTGCTGCTGCTGTAATAATAACTGCAACTGTTCAAAAGAAATCGCCATATTATTTTTTTTTACTGCTAATAATAATAATTCCAAAAAAATATCACCGGCAATTATTACAGATTATTTCTTTTCAAGATCTGAGTCACCAATTGTTGCATTATTTTTTTCGTGCCAAAATCCCCGTCGCCAATTTGTTATGATTTGATGTCCGGCTTACGATCACGTGACTTATACACCAATCAGAATACGGCTTATACGAATATTCGCACTATGACAAGACCAATGACGTTCAACCGGTCTGAGCAGTCTAGCGTCCTATTGGGTCCTACGTCCTTCTAACCCGTCCTCTTGAGTCCAGAACACAAAAGCAGCTTCCGAATCAACCAAATCATTTATTTCAGACATACTCGGTTTATATATCAATCAGGCAGACCACAACGTACCATAAAATAGAAAATAACATATGTACACAAATAGGCCAAAAAGTGGCTGTGAATGTGGGAGACAGTAATTAATAGACAGGTTATAACTCAAGAATAATAAATCGTATAGTAATAATGTATGGGTCAAAATAAAGCTTATAATAAGTGGAATATAAATACACATAATGTAATTCTTGAATAATTATACAATAAGAATACTTATAGAATATTAGTCCATTAATAGTCCTCGAAAGTTACCTGTAGTTTAATCTTCACTGGTATATAACACTATACTCATAATGTTTATTACTTAATTAAGTATATTTATAAAAATGTACAAACTATTGAGATGTTGAATACACTAAAACTTTGTCAAAAACAATAGAGTAGTTAATACATTACTCTTTGTTTATACTTTCTAATAATAATCCTCAATTACACCATAATTCGTGTGTATAACCTACAAGCCTTGTCTAATATATGTATTGTTATCAGAGCAATACTGATCAGAGAAATGGTCGAAAATAATTGCGATTTACATACTAAAATTCTCTGTTTAGAATATCCTATTGTAATCATATATATTATACTGAATAAAGTGACTATCGTTAATATTTTTATTATACTTCCGTAGGTTAGATTTATAAGAAAATGTATGACCATCAGTTTACTGCATTATTAATTCATCAGGTTATAAGTTGAATACGAATGAGAATCAATAACCGATTAACTTTACAGCCTGGGTGCATATATATATATATATATATATATATATATATATATATATATATATATATATATATATATATATATATATAATGGTCATAAATTGTTACTGACTCGACTGAAACTTCGGATCGTTTCCAAACAAATATAATACTTCTGATTTTAAAAAAAATCAATATCATATATTAAAAGTACGATTAGTATACTTAATTCAAGGGATAAATTTGGAAACACGTTTGATTCAGTAAAACACATGTAACTCGACTATTTTTTCAAATGTTTGGTTACTTATATTAGCTAATTCGATAACATTTAGCATGCAAATAAAGTTTAACTTATTGTTATATTTACGTACTGACCTATCTACGAGTCATCAAACTCGGAAATGTTATAAGGACAGAGATTATTCGGAGATATAAGTGGACAATTATGACTAAGTAGATCAAAAAGGTAGTTCATACATAAAGTTTCTGTAAAACCAGTAACTAGTCACACTATCGCAAACTAATTAATACATTAATAATTATTTATTGATTTTATTGAGAAGTTAAGACAATTGTCCAGTTCTACAACAAATAGTTTATAGATCAATCAAGCAGATCGGTGATTAAGAAATTATTTAGCCTAATTTCTACCAATCTCAGAATCACTATGAATTAAAAATCTTACAAGGTGAAAAACTGATTGAAAGATGTAATCATCTTTTCATGATTGCATATTGAAACAGACAAATAAAAGGTGTCATTGAGAACCAATCATTAAGGGTATAAGTTTCAAATAAATAAATTCAATATTCTAGCAATTTGGTACATCGACAATATTGGCAGATTCTAGTAAAAATTTCAGAAACTGTTACAATGTTCGACATGAAGAAATGGAAATACAAATATCGTAAATATATGGGAATTCATAAAAATAGAACAACATATATAAGCGAACAATATTGTTTTCGATTAGATCTTCATCAAGTAATAATTATATGCATATACGAAATTATTAAGCCAAACAAGACAGTTTATGATTCAGTGACAATAGTGGGATAAATTACATAAACACAATAAGTATATAGTACAAATCGATGGTATGATGAGGAACAAATCAGAAACTGTATTGTTCGTTTATATATGTTGTTCTAACTCACAATATGGGAATTTTCTAAAATCCAGAAGTATTAAAGAAGTCTTCTATATACAATTTTACACGATTTCAGAAGATATTTAACATCTATTCACCATGAAATATCTTTCAAATATAATACACCAAGTGAGAAAAAAAGTAGATTATTTTTAATAATTGTATATATACTGATTGTGAAACTTACAATAGTTCTTAAGAAAGATGTTTCTAATGAGAACAGTGGAGGATTAATTTTTTGACATTCTCGTCCAGGTCTAAAAGTGAAAGAAAATAGATTGTGAAAAGAATTATCTTATATCCCTACATACTGTAGAATATGGATTAATTTATGTGTGCTTTTTGACTGACAATACTAATGTGATGCAACAGAAGACTAAAGAAGTGGTAACTCTTGGAACTGTTTAATGGACTCAGTCCGTCAGTCAGTAACAACGTGGAACTTCGTACGTACGTACATCAGTTCGAGTTGCCATACCACATTACCACAGACATTTAGTTATCGATTCGAATCCCATAGTGGTAGAGGTACTGAAAGTATAAGTAGAGATAGGGGACATTAAGGTTTGATGATGTTATTAAAGGAGTATAGTCCAGTGGAATATATTTGGAAAGAAAATAAAGGACATGAAGAATTCAGAAGATTAGAGTTTGAGAGAACACAAAGAGTGGATGCACCTGCGCCATTGCTAACGATTTTGAGCCATATCAATCAAGATCTCTAACCATCGGTTGCTATCATCTTGCGGACCCCAACCAGGTAGTCTATGCCTACCAACATGACTCAGTCCACTTGTCAGTGACTTCATGGATTTCTGCCATGTTTTGGTCTGGCCGCCCCTAGCTTTCTTCCAACCTACTCCTACACGAGAAACCATCGCACGTCGGGGCAGTCGGTGATCGGGCATGTGCAACACATGTCCCAGCCATCTCAATTGATTAAGTTTCACTACTTCCTCAATTGATTTGCCATCCTTACCTAGTACCCGTTTCATAACAACTGCATTACTTAATCGGTGGTCCCAGGATATACGAGCGATGTTTCGAAGACACCTATGATCAAATACTAGTAACCTACGAATATCCTCTACTCTTACTGGCCATGTTTCACTGCCACAAATTAGGACGGAACGAACTGCTGCGCAGTAAACACGTCCTTTGGTTGATAGACGGATATCTCGCCTACGCCACAAATGACGCAAGTTGGCAAAAGCTAGTCGAGCCTTCTGTATCCGTGCTGAGATTTCGTCACACAACAAACCACAAGGGCTGACGAGACTTCCGAGATAAGTGAAGCGGTCGACACGCTCAACTACTTCACTCCCTATCACTAGTTCGGGTGTCGACGCAACCCAATACTGAAGCAACATTTTGCATTTCGAGGGAGAAAATCGCATGCCGAACATGCTTGCATTGTTGCTTAGAGTGGTCAGCAGACTCTGCATTCTGTCAGCGTCTTCACTAAATAGAACTATGTCATCGGCATATTCTAAGTCAACAAGTGGATCTCCCGGTAGAAGTTCAACTCCTGGAAATTTAGATGAGGAAAGTGTCATCTCTAAAAGCACGTCAACGACAAAGTTAAACAAGAATGGAGAGAGTGGACAGCCCTGACGAACACCACTTGAGGTAATCAATTCTGATGACAGTTCACCATAAGCTCTCACTCGACCAGTTGTGTTCGAGTAGAGAGCCTTTATAAGGTTGATGTACTTCTTTGGTACTCCTTTCAGTGACTATGATTATATATATTCCTATTGTTTAATTCTAAAATAACTGGACTATTGTGTCTCTACATTTAGTTAATTGCAAGTTTCCGTTGAACCAGATAATTAATATCATACCTTTTTATTATTCCGAAACTATTGATAATCAAGTATTTACTGCATGTCCGATTCACTGCCACTTTGACTTGTTTTGTGTATAAATACTATCTTCTATTTTATAGTATGATGTAGCCGGGTATGTCTGTATACAAACCTGTATCCTCGGAATAATAATAATAATGATAATAATAACAGTAGCTGTGGTCTTCTCTTATTTGGATTCAAGGCTGAGAAGCAACCAATCAATAGGAGTGAAGCGTTTGTCAGTATCACCACAAGGTCAATCATGTCGCTTGAAGAGTATCACTTGGTTAAGGATTAAGATGCTATGCTATAAACGCAATTAAGTACGAAGGACAAAGAAATTATAATCAGGATTTTGATTGATAAACCTAAAAAAAGATATTGATTAACATATCAGAAATAACATTATTTGCCAAGGTGATTGCAACATTAATGAAATTTTGTCAAAAATGCTTTAACCCAATTTAATTCTTCGTATAACCTTCGACTTTTTCAGGTTGATTGTCGGTGCTTAACTTCTATACGTTTAAGGATAATAGTTCAGTTACCATATAGATCGAGTTATACAAAGTCGTAATACACTGCTTATTTTACCATGAATATCAAGATATCCAACAATTTATCTTCATTCATGTGTTAGCCATAAGATGTAAATGTGCTATGTACAAGTCGCCATTATCGATTACGAAAAGAACGGATCGTAACTGGAATAACTCAATCACTTTCCTGATTCCGTAAGTACTTTAAGATCATACTGAACCCCAAATAACGATATATAACATCATGTTTAGCTGGGAAAAAGGAAAAATCATTACTAAAACTCTTCCCAAACGAAATCCCGACGGTAGCTGCTACCTTGACGTGGTGGTCAGGATTGCCTATCGTGATGACTGGAACTGGCTGGAACATATGTTCCTGCAGGTTCTACCATGCCAGGCAGGTCGATTGCCCTGGTATGGCCGACAGCGGGATGGGTTCGCCCTCCCTCTCGAAGTGCTCTCACATGGCCACGCGTATACAGCCCCTGCCAGGGAAGTCCTACTCACTGCCTTTTCGTGGCGGCGGTGTTGTTTACGAGAATGAGAGGACGAAAAGCGAATGTCCGGCGATTTAACCGGATCTCAAACCAATGGTGCACATGGGCTCCAGTTTCCTGCCTGAGGCAACAAATGGCGTATGAACCAATCGTTGGTCACCGGCTACCACGGGACTGCATCTCCTTACGATGCTTTACTGCCTTGTGGGTCAAATCGTCAGGTCAAAGGGTCCGGGTGTGGCCCCCTAAGAAAACCACCTGCTTCGGTTTGGGCACCCGGGCAGTATCACAGCCCTCACACAAATCAATTGAGATTCGTGTGGCGCAAATGTATTTGATGCATTTTTGTACCAATACCTATATGTTAAAATAAATAAGGTCGATTAAAGAACGGTAAGACTAAAAGCAGCAACTCAAGGTCTGACGGCGAAGTCGTACTGCTGACTGTACAGAGGTGTGACAGCAGCAAGGCGTCTCCCTCGGACAACCAGCATAACAGTGATGCTGTCTTCTCACAAGGAAGGAAGAGGTTAGAAATGGTTGACCTTAAAAATGTCACACCTCACCTTACGCCACGGATTTCCGTCTCCGGCGGTAAGGCATTTTGAAGAACGGAGCTAACACATTAAAAACCTCCCACAAAAAGGCCGTGCGCGACCGGCCTCAAGCAGTTGTCCCTTGGGCTCTGCGGTCACGCACCCAGGTCGCTAAGACCAACACTAATCCGATTTCCTTTTCACGTCCCTCAAGAAATACCCTTCCACGGTGTGGGCAGCCGGGAAGTGACATCAGCACTCATACCCGTAACAGCACACGAGACCAAGTTGGTCACATTCAAATCCTTCCTACACCTCCTAATAACTCTCTTATCTCCACGACTAACTCTTCTTACGTCCCTTTATCAGCTCGCCCTGCTAGTGCAAACGATTCGAGTACGCGGCATGTTATTCCTGGTCTCCTGAAACCACGCTCCAAACTACACGTAGGAGCTTTCAACGTCCAAACACTGTGCCAAATAGGACAACAGGCTTTCTTAGCTAAGACTTTAGAATCTCGCTCCATCGATGTGTGCTGCGTCTCCGAAACGCGCACACAGGATCCTAGTAGTGTCATTCATTTGACCTCACCATGTCAAAGTAACGAGCCAACTCGATTTACGCTTCGTGTATCTGGAAGCCCTGATGCTGCTTCCCGTGGCATCGCTGGCGTAAGTATAGCATTGAGTCCTAGGGCAGAACTAGCTCTCTTAGACTGCATCCCAGTAGGAAGTCGTTTGTGCGCTGTCCGACTAAATGGAACAGTAAGGACTCGGAAAGATAGAGACACTCGTCGTTGCCTCTTCGTCGTCTCTGCCTACGCTCTCACTAACTGCAGCTCAGATAATTTAAAAGATGAGTTTTACAGAAAGCTTCCTGACCTCCTCCAAAACGTTAGGCGCTCTGATGTAGTAATAGTGGCTGATGACTTTAATGCTCAAGTAGGTAAACTAAGCTAAAGTGAAAGATACCTGGGTGGATCTTATGCTGTCGTGGCTCAAAGAACAGATAACGGCGACCGTCTGTTGCAGCTATGCTCAGATAACTGCCTGTTTCTTGTAAACACTAACTTTAAGCATAAGGAAAAACATCTTTTGACATGGCGACCCCCTAATTCGTCCCAACGTTGGACCCAAATAGATCACATCGATATCAGCCACTGATGGAGGGGCTCGATAGAAGATTGTCTCTCATTCTGGAGCACATGCTTAGACTCAGATCATGATCTAGTGAGAGCACGTATTTGTCTACATCTTACTGGACGTAGGAAAGATCGTGCAAGGAAACCCCTTAGGGTCCTACTTAATGATACCCAAGCTAAGAGTATATTTCAGGAACAACTAGAAAAACAGTTAGGCAGCCATGGAAGTGACGCTCACCCCAAGGCAGCGTGGAATGACATCCGAAAAGCTGTAGAAACAGCAGTGATGTCTGCAAGTACGGTAAACCATAAGGTTAGGGAGAAAAACTGGATCTCAGCAGCATCTACCGCACTGATAGATGCTGGAAAACTCATTCCATCTGGCTCTGAACATAACGAAGAGCGGAACACAACTGTTAGCGAAACAATCTCGGAAAAAGATGGACATACTATACATTCTCAATCCAAGAGATTGGATTGATGGGCAGAACACTTTAGGGATCAGTTCAACTGGCCTTCAGCCACACTTCGGTTCCCCACGATCTCCAGTCGACCTGAATGGCAAGTCGATGTAAGTCCTCCGACTGTTTACGAAGTTGAAAAAGCTATAGTAAATCTGAAGCGTGGGAGAGCAGCAGGCCCTAACAGGTTTACCCCTGAGATTTTTAAGGATGGCGCTCCAGTATTAGCAGCGAGATTGACTGAGGTCTTAGGTAGAATCTGGGAACTGGATGTAATCCCATCTGACTGGTCTCAATCACTGATTGTGCCAGTCTATAAGAAAGGACAAAAGTCCTCCTGTGACAATCACAGAGGAATTAGTTTGACTAATATAGTGTCTAAAATATTAGCTTCAATAATACTTCGACGTCTAACCAAAGCTCGTGAAGAGCAGAATAGAGAAAACCAGGCTGGTTTTCGACCTGGACGTGGTTGTATGGACCAGATATTCAAACCACGTCAGGTCCTTGAACATAAACACACATTCAGACACTCCACAATCTTAGTATTTCTCAAAATTAAGGCGGCATTCGACTCTGATGATCGTGAGGTTGTACAGAAGTGTTTGTCACTGATAGGAGTACCAAAGAAGTACATTACCATTGTAAAAGCTCTCTACTCGAACACAACTGGTCGAGTGAGAGCTTATGGCTTCAGTGTTGGGTCGCATCGACACCCGAACTAGTGATAGGGAGTGAAGTAGTTGAGCGTGTCGACCGCTTCACTTATCTCGGAAGTCTCATCAGCCCTTGTGGTCTGGTGTGTGACAAAATCTCAGCACGGATACAGAAGGCTCGACTAGCTTTTGCCAATTGCGCAGCATTCCGATCCATCCTACTTTGTGGCAGTGAAACATGGCCAGTAAGAGTAGAGGATATTCGTAGGTTACTAGTATTTGATCATAGGTGTCTTCGAAACATCGCTCGTATATCCTGGGACCACCGATTAAGTAATGCAGTTGTTATGAAACGGGTACTAGGTAAGGATGGCAAATCAATTGAGGAAGTAGTGAAACTTAATCAATTGAGATGGCTGGGACATGTGTTGCACATGCCCGATCACCGACTGCCCCGACGTGCGATGGTTTCTCGTGTAGGAGTAGGTTGGAAGAAAGCTAGGGGCGGCCAGACCAAAACATGGCAGAAATCCATGAAGTCACTGACAAGTGGACTGAGTCATGTTGGTAGGCATAGACTACCTGGTTGGGGTCCGCAAGATGATAGCAACCGATGGTTAGAGACCTTGAATGACATGGCTCAAAATCGTTTGCAATGGCGCAGGTGCATCCACTCTTTGTGTTCTCTCAAACTCTAATCTTCTGAATTCTTCATGTCCTTTATTTTCTTTCCAAATATATTCCACTGGACTATACTCCTTTAATAACATCATCAAACCTTAATGTCCCCTATCTCTACTTATACTTTCAGTACCTCTACCACTATGGGATTCGAATCGATAACTGAATGTCTGTGGTAATGTGGTATGGCAACTCGAACTGATGTACGTACGTACGAAGTTCCACGTTGTTACTGACTGACTGACTGACCCTCAAACGAAATACAGAGAATACAAACGTTGGAAAGCAGAAAAATGTTAGTGCAATAAGGTTGACACCAGATTCAAAAGGTAATCGATATGAATATCGGCTCGCCAACTAAATAAATATCCTCCAGTTTAACTGAGATTCTCGCAAATTCAGTAGATTGTTTAATAACGATCACACAAATTACTTAAAGGTTAGTATAAACAAGGCATTCAAGAACTGATAAAATAACCACACAAAAATAAACTATTTGACCATCTCTGAACAAAAACTATTTGCTTCCAAAATTTTCACTAACACAGTAAAACTTACTGAGACAATAATTTCCACCGAGAGAAAAATGTTGCTTGATCCATCTCTGCAGGTTGAAGGAACTTATTTAATGTTACTGGAAGCATAAGAGCATAACGTTGTTTAGAGTCTTCGCATCTATTTAAAAAACCACAGAAAACAAATATAGGATGTTACGGGTTAAGACAGGTGAATAAAACTACGATTTTACGTGTATACACACTAGTGAGATCAATTAAGAAAAAACAATAATCAATTTAATGAGAGCTAACTTTAATACGTGATATTTACATCGAAAACGGATAACTGGTAAGCGGATTAATTACTACATAATGAGGTTCGCAGTAATAATAATAGTAACAATAATATATTTAATTTATATACGTAAAATACCCTGTAATAGGCTACTTATATCGCTAATATATATTCCAACTTTTACAGTTTATAACAAAGTAGAGGAAAAATTCTCGAAAAACAAAGATATGGAGCAATAGTTATGATCATAAATAGATCACAGTAGACAAGATCAAAATTAGAAAGGCAAACAGAAAATTAGGATTTTAATTATTTACAGTAAAAGGGAATGTCATTGCAGCAGTAATGTGAGAAGTTTCTATTTAAAGACAATATTTATCGTCCGTGTGCGAGATCCACAGTCCTGGATGTGAGCTCATGAGGAGTTTCATAATAGTACGAAACGACCATCCAGTGTTCAAAGGTTTTTAATGGGTGTCTAACTTAGAGCGATTCTCAATTTAAAGAATATGAGGATAATTGTACCCTCAAATTGAGTTTTGAATGTGGAGTCTAAGAAACCTGTTATGATCATTTATCTGTAATTTGATTATATAGCTGAAGCTAACGTTGAAAAATAAAGGATAACTCCAATAAATGACGACTAATGATGGAAAAAAAATGAGATTTCTGAAATGCTACCACTGTCCTTTTCCATCCCACACAGTTCCCACTTTATCAAGATTAAGGACCATATTAACAAGTTTGATATTTTAGAGCCCAGTTTAAGATAACAGCAAAAAGATAATTCTTTAATCTTTCATAAAATTATTTTAATGGGCATATATATAGGGCATTGTATTTGTGGTTGTTCGTCAACCGCAGGACTTGATTAAATACACTGCAAGCCACCTTTAATTTAGATCTAAATAACAAGTGGTCTTATTGTACTTGCCTGAGCGATAGACTCAAACACACAGTGGCGTGAGTAAAATAACAATGAAATTTAGAATACATAAGAACTACTTCGTGCATCATGATGATGAAACCAATCAAGTAACTATATCCAAAGCCTTTAGATGAACATGAACTGTAATACGGTCATTTCGAGTCCAGGGGTTGTCACCCAGGTAAAATCGCAGGTTGTATACAGTTTGAAATTTTCTATGCGGATTTACCTTAACTAATAATAACTTAAAAATATCTGATAGTTTGAAAACAATGTACGATGGTAACTCTAATTAGTCAAAATACAGCTTTCAACCATCGGATAACAAATTTGAACACGACAACAGCTACTTCAGTCCCGACAATCGACTAATATTATAAGGTGTAACTGAAGGCTAAATACATGAAATCAATACTTACTAAATGCATTAGGGTGAAAAAAAGTCGATAAAAAGTTTACTTACAAATAAGAAACATCAAGTTTTACTATTTCAGTAAAAGGACGTAAACACTCAACATTTAATGTTTGTTGAACTTGTGTTCCTGCTTCAATTCGATCAGGACCAGGTTGAAGTTCAATGGAAATAGCTTTAGCCAATTCGTTCACATCCATTGCATCTGGACAAGTGACTTGAGAACAAAACACTGTGAATGGATGAGGAGATTTGTTCCCGTAGAATACACCTAAACGACAAAACTGACCACAAGATTCCATTCGAATACCAATACGAATAAGAGAATTCTCGTATAATATTGCATTATGCCTTGTCAAAAAGCTGGAAACAAAGAGCCAGAAAGAATAACACTGCAGAATAACAAGAACTAATATAATGAATAACAAAAAACTAAAATTAAAGAGATTTACTCAAAACGTGTTAGAAAAAAAAATGTATAAGGTCTTGTTCATAAATTAGAATTCCTGAGATTTTCTTCTAAAATGAAGAAATATAATGATCTATTCAAAAGTTAATTGATTGCTGAGCGGTGACAAATGACATGCTTTTCTAGACCTCTCGGTATTGATCGAATTCCATTAACGAAGATGTGGCCATTAGTCTGAGTGATGCAACTGTGTGTGCTACGTTAACGTATTGTACGGTAGAAGATAGCCGAAAGAAGACCTTGTCGACTACCTCCTACCACGTAAAATGATAATCTGATATTTTGATTTTATCGTTCAGTTACATAAGTTTTTCACAAAAAAAATATGTGTGATGGTAGAAATAAATTGTGAGATAAAATGACTGAAAATAAATATTTTCGTCTATTGGAGCCCTTATTTGAAATATTGGTCAACTGAGGTCACATCAAAACACGGCAAATCAAAATATGGATTACGTAGATTCAGTGAACAGTTTGTATACATGATAGTTCGAGAATCGAGTGTGTAGATGATCAATTTCCATAACTATGATTGACAGGAAAATAAAGTATAAAATTACGAATACAAATGAAAGGCTGGTAAACATGAGAGATTTATTTACTTATTTATTTGAACAAATAAATATTGGTACAAGGGGCAACAAATATATATGCGCCACACAAAATAAAGAGGAATTTAAAGAGAAGGGAAAAAAACAATAAAGACCAGATTAGTGTAAGGTAGTGTAATAGTAGTAATAATTGGGGAAACGGAAAGGTACAATCAGGAGAAATCTTTCAGTTAAGGAAGAAGCAACCACTCTTTAAGAAGAAAGTAAAAGCAGGTCACACCACGATAGCCACTGGCTTTTATTCTGAGCCATATCTGATAACGTACCTAGCCACTGTGTTACACCATCTCTAGGACCCCGGCCAGCGAGTCGTGGAGGACAAACACAAGCCAGCCCTTTGCAGCTTCCTTTCATCCCACGACCCCATGTCATACACTGACCACCTCTCCACTTTTCCAAACCAGTCCCAGAGTCGGCAAATAGTGAACGACGTAGAATTCTCTGATACGACATTCGTAGAACATGTCCAAGCCACCGAAGTCAGTGTTTCAAGATGGTGACACCAATTGGATTGTCGTCTCTGTGACCGAACACACGATGCCGAACTCCTGCATTACTAACATGGTGTTACTACTGGATGTCAGCAATCCTTCGGAGACAACGATGATCAAACACAGAGAGTCGTCTAACGTTCTCAGCTCGGAGAGGCCAGGTTTCACAAGCATAAAGCAGAACTGCTATCACCGACGCGTCGTAGATCCGACCTTTTATAGCCAGACTAACATCGCGAAGGCGCCAAAGATGGCCCAGATTGGCATAAGCCGCTCTGGCTTTCACTATACGTGCATTGATCTCATCACTCACGCCACCACAAACAGCACTTATGCAGCTACCCACATACACGAACTTCTCGACCACTTCTATCTGCTCACCATCCAGAGTGAGTACAGGATTAGAATCCTGCTAGTCTTGTGGAAGTACTTTGCACTTCGACGGTGAAAAGCACATACCATACCTACGGACACTGATTGCCAACTGATTAAGTGCGGATTGCATAGCTTGGGCATTATCGCACAGTAAGACAATATCATCCACATACTCAACGTCGAGAAGTCTTTCTCCAGGCAACAGATCTACACCGCCATTACTTACATCCATCAGAGCTGTTTCCAGAATGTCATCGATGGAAAAGTTGAAGAGGATTGGTGAGATTGGGTAACCCTGTCTAAACCCACTGCTTGAATGGAACAATGGAGAGAGGTGGTTGTATGCCCTCACTCTGCCTGAGATGTTCGTATATAGGGTCTTTAGGCTGTTAATAAACTTCTCAGGCATACCCTTCTTCAATAGACAATCCCAGAGAACAGTCCTATCCAACAAATCGAAGGCAGCCCTGATGTCAAGAAACACTACGATTGTTGGTCTTTGATAAGTATGACGGTGTTCTAACATTTGGTAGAGAGTGAAGATATGATCAATACATCCTCGACCAGAACGAAAACCAGCCTGCTCCTCGCGAGTCAATCTTTCTCGGGTTCTGAACAACCTACGAAGTATAACGGAAACCAATAGCTTGGACGCAATCGGAAGTAGACTTATCCCCCGATAGTTTTTACAGGAACGGCGTGAACCCTTTTTAAAGATAGAGACAACTATCGACTCATTTCATGACATTGGTACACTACCTAGTTCCCACACCTTTGAAAACAACGTCGTCAGTTCCTTAGTCAGAAAGTCACCACCATCTTTAAAAAGAGCCGGAGGTAAGTCATCTAGGCCCGGTGATTTGTAGCGTTTAAAGAGTTGGAGTTCCTTGCGGACTCCCGCCTCATTTGGTGGATCAGTCGTCACCGACCATGGAGGGCAGGACAGTCTGACCGATGTTGCCGGAGCAGCAGGCCAGTTGAACTGAACTGCCCTTCGAAAAATTCTGCCCATCGTCCAAGGCGTCGATGGATGTTAGTGATTGGCGTTCCGTCATCCTCGCAGATTGTTTCGCTCACACCAGACTTCTTGTTGCCAGTAGCTCGGATGAGTTGGAAGAGCTTCCGGTAATTACCAGATGCAGCTGCTGCTTCTAGCTTATTAGCACGCTCCGACCACCAGGCCTCACGGTCCTTACGCAAGCTTTGTCCAATTTCATTGCGTAACGTCCTTTGTCTGTGGTAAAACTCACGGTCACCCGGAGTAAAACATGAGAGAGTAGCAAAACTTTGATAAAAGGAAATCTGATTTAAAGTACACAGTTCGTTAGCTGCCAGTACGTCATATAAAAATCTTAAAAAAGTTAGTTACTCGCCAAAAATATACAACCATTTATTTTGTAAAGTCAACAGATATTTCCATACTTCCATAACTGAAATGAATAGGGGATGAAGAAACAACAAACAAACAAGCGACGGAAAGAACATACTTTCAAAATCACAATGAGAAGAGCCTCGTCGAATGTAGTTAAATTCCACACATCACATAAGTTAGTTCATGAACGAATATTGAACAGTAAATGACAGCAAACTTAAATGTACATAGACCTATTTCATTTCTATGCAATATGACTACCTTTAGTAGTTCAGTGACTTTTTGAACACAACTACCGCTTTTATCAGAAAACTATTGGCGAAACAAAAATAAAGAAATTAAAATGGTAACACTGAATGGCTCTGTGGAAATAATTACAGAATATATCATTGTCCTACAATTAAATTCAGCTTAAATTAGCAGCCTCGGATAGGATTTGACACATACCGAATTTGTGCAAATCTATTTTTAGATGACTAAGCGAGTTTTAAAAGCAGTGTATAATGCTGTATTTTAAATTTAAAGAATAAATTTCCTACGATTATATACTTTTATAAACAAAGACATATTCTAATCTTCTTTTCTTAATGGATGAAACCGTTCAGTCATTAACTAGTAAGTACATTATCTATAAAAGAGGATAACATTAGTCAACTATATTACTGATTATAGATCATCAAATAATAGATAGAAAGCTATCAAGCATACTTTGTGAATTCTTTATGATTTATGTATTGATCACCACTGGCATGAAGTAAATTGTTCATATCTGGAGAAGCCAAACCATTGCCCATTATATCAACTAATAGACTAGACGATCCGTTTGGTTTTGACTGAACCTCATTGTATACAGTACCAGGATTACCGAAATTGAGTAAATCTGCTTCACGATTAACATCGTGATTATTATCATGATCGATCTGGATTGGGAAAGAAAGAAAAGGAGTTGATAAAAAACAACCGAATTTTGTTCAGTTAGGAAACAATATCATGAAATTAGAATCAGTTTTATTTATTTACAGTAAATCATTCTACTACCTATTGATTGAGATTTTACTCTGTTAAGAGAATATATGCTTAACGATCGTATCCTCAGTGCAAGAAAAATTTACACAAGCTAACTAATTCATATTAAACCAAACGGTGCCAGTGAACAAATCTAGGTTTTAGAAGTTTTTCTCCTGCATATATATATATATATATATATATATATATATATATATATATCCCCAGAACTCACTTGTTAAATGCCTTATTTTTGCAATTCTGGAAATTTTAATTTCTTATTTTCATGCCAAAGCGTCCATTTTTACCTTCATGTTGTATTACTCACTTGAGATCTTAAATATCATTGGTTCATCGTCTTTTTTAATATGTTATTTTGTGACGAGAAGAGTATTTTTAGTAATCATCGTTATTTCACTTCATTTGTGTGAGGGCTATGATACTGCTCGAGTGCCCAGACCAAAGCAGGTGGTTTTCTCAGGGGGCCATACCCGGAGCTTTCAACCTAAAGGTCTGATCCACAAGGTAGTAGAGCATCGTAAGGAGATGCAGTTCTATGGTAGTCAGTGACCAACAATTGGTTCATACGCCATTTGTTCCCTCAAGCAGGATACTGGAGCCCATGTGAACCATTGGTTTGTAATCAGGGTCTCCCAACTCCCCTAGGTGGACCCTCTATATCCACCCACCCGGTTAAATCGCTGGACATTCGCTTCTCGTCCTCTCAATTTCCTAAACAACACCTGGGGTGCGAGAAGACAGTGAGTAGGACTTCCCTGGCAGGGGCTATATACGCATGGCCATGTGAGAGCATTTTGAGTGGAAGAGCCGCCTCTCCCCACTATTGGCCGTACCAGGGTATTTGAGGGCCCAGTGTAACGCGAATAGAATGCTAACTAGCTAATTTCATTCTGAGGTGAACTATATTGTAGCCTTTTCAGAAAAATGTCAGCGAGAAGTGTGATCAGATGATCCCAATAGAACCCTATCTGATTTATTTAGTAAAATCTTTTGTGGAGAGTAGTTTGATCTAAATATAGTTTTTATAACTGATTGAAATCAATTGTAAAACTATTTAAAACCAAAGAGATTTAGAGGAAAGTTTTGTTTGGAGTAACCATAATGTATAAGATTCAATAATTCCAAATGTATGGCGCTGAGAAATATGAAAGTCATGAGATTTAGGTTTTGTGCAAATTTATGAATGTATAATATATTTCTATATGTTTAAAAGTAAGAAGAGCAAACTATCCATTTAGCGCTCTCTGATTTTTATTGGTTTTATACAATTGATGTCAGTCAGTGACGAAATCTACCATTTTTTATAACCTGGATTACTTTGAAATACGTCTACAATTGTTTTTAGCTAAATAACGTTCCAGTTTAAAAAGCAATAATACCTAAATGAAGATAAGTGTTGTACAAGGAATAAACTAAAAACTAGACATTGTGCTTAAACAAAACTAATAAAAATCAAAATGAATGGACATCCTATCAAGAAAAAAAAGCACTAAATCAATAGAATAACAATTCCTATTTGATACAAATTTTATAAACAGACGTTTTTCTGTGTAGTTTTGTGGTGAAATAACTACTTCAAGGAGTCGATAGGTTACAGAATATATACGATGGATGTTAATTTGTGTAAACCAGTTATTATGAATACTTTTATTGAGGAAATTATATATATATATATATATATATATATATATATATATATATATCACCTAAAGTACAAAACAATTAATCGATGAAGTTAACATTTTTTTCAAATCTATTGCCCAATAGGTGTTATCATCATTCCGAAATGTTTCAAAATTTCAGTGACCGTATGAATATCATCATATAAATTATATTTAATCATCAAATGAATAAGCTGTATGTGTGATTCTAAATATTTATAATGTTTAAGAATTCGGATGTTAAGTTATATTATTCATCAAAAAATTAGTTATTCAACCAAACTATTGATCATTAAGCAGATAAAGTAAACAAAATTACTAACTAGTAACATAATTAGCATTTTCACTAGGTATAGTGGTCAGTGTCTAATATTAAAAGCTTTAAAATGCTCAAGGGTTGGTTAGCTAGTTAATATAAAGTGCTAACAAATCATGATGTACCAATCATTTATTAACCACGCAAACATATACATTACTACTATCCTACCTGTGTGGAAATGAAGATTTTATGTTTATTTAACCTAGACATAATTGATTGTTACCGATTTTTGTCATTTCGTGTGATTTAGAATCAGTGAGTGAAAAGTTGCATTTACATTATTTTCTAGCTAAAATGAAGAGTTTGTGAATGTACACCAACTTAAATAGACACAAATCTTGAGGGTCGATACTTTCCCACCAGCGTTCAAGTACACAATAATAACAACGTTGTAACGTAATCGGAGTGACCTGAGTTTATCAAAAAGTCAGTAACTGTTTATTTTATTTTAAATAATGGTTATCAGCTCGTTCCTCCTTAGTTTTAGGTAGTGGAAGGGAATTGCCTACTTTAATCCACAATTGTATCACTATTGGAGTAAATAAATATGTTAAAAACGACTTGGTATTGATTCTACTCCAAGCACTTGTTTGTCTATCTGTTTAACATAGGATAGCCTTCAGAAAGCCAAAACAAAATTATTATTAACTGTGATAAAGATGGTCAAATGGGATAGAATAGTTCTGTAACTGTCACTTCCACAGAGTCCTATATGTATTAAGGCTTGGGAATGACTAAGAATATGGAAACTGGAGAAGAATCAGTTTACAGTTTGTTAGCGGGACATAGATTGGATTAAATCATGCTCATTGCACGCTCGTGTTGGCGCACGCTGATTGGCTAATTTTTATCCAATCAGCGCTAGCCGATGCTTGGAGAATACTCTGGAATCTTCTCATGTAAAAACTATAAATATACTAACGTTTTTCCTATTGTGCTTCTTGCTTCCATCTAACCTTGTTATTTGGAATATAATCTCCTTCCTGTTCAACCGTGTTCTGATTTGGGGCCTTGTCGAGTGAATTGGTGTCCGTGAATACTAAACAATAGGAATAGCTGGGTTATAACCGATAAAGAAAGAATTATAACACAGTTGTTCTAAACTGTGGACATACTGTCACAGCTGTAGAAAAAGAATTCTGAAAAACATATTTAAAACGTGAAATGTATCGTCCCATCAGAAGTATAATGAAGGAATAACACATTACTGGTACACACATATATAACAAAATAGACAATAATACAACTGAAAACTAACTTTAGTTGAATTCAAAGCATAACTTTCACCAACAGCTTCCGATTTTGATATTGTACCATCAGTATTAGGATTTTTAGCTTTAAGTTTAGCTAAAATACTGGAATGACGCTCTGGGAAAGGTGGCATTTCTTCTAGAACAGTAGCCTAAATATGTCAAAAATAATATGGATAATTAACATATAACAGAGGATAGATGACCAAAGAAATTTTTCCAAAAAAGAGATAATAAAACCAGAATAAAAACCATTTACATTTATTATTTCTGAACTTCAATATTACTCAAAGCATAGGAGAATAAGTACTACGAGAGAAGATAAACCCGACAGTGGTGATACAAAATTACTAGAGTGAAATGAAATTATCGAGACAAATCTCACAGTACCAGAAGTAGTAACATCATCAAGTGTAGTAGAAAAGACTAGGCGAAGAAAAATAGAAAATAAAGTATAAGGACATTTACAGAAGTTCTAAGGGACGACAAAGTGTGAATGCATCTGCGCCAGATATAGTTGAATAAGTAGTAATAAACATTCCCCTACAATCCATAATCATCGTCATTTGTTTAAATATGGTCCACGATGAATTAATTCGTTGACACATTCATAGTGAAATAGCTCATGAAACAGAATTTAACCTCGGGAACCAAACCCGTTCAAAAAGTTTCATCTTCAATAGAACTTGACAAAGAACATGGCATTTAATAAACATCTAAATGCAAACCAATTAGTTTCTTCCTGCATTTCCAAAAAATATTAACACCTAAATAAAGAAGTTACGAAAATAATGAATAGAAATTGAAGGAAACATTTTTCAATGATCTTAAGCTTTATGGAGTACGATTTGTAACAGAAAACGTTAGTTAACGGTTAGGATTCGCAGACCAACTGCTATGATAATGCTGATTAAATAACATTAATGACCACATTTCTTTGGATTTGCTGAGATGTTATGTGTTGTAGATGTTGTGAGACGCTTTAAAGAAGTGATTTCTTAAACCGTTACATTACCAATAAATTTAAAATATGGTAAATGGAGCAAAAATTGAATGTGTTTAAACCTGATCCTAAAAATAAAACTATTATATTTCAGTTTATCATATAGAAATCCTATCCTACGAACAATCCTAATATAGAGCATTTGTAATTTCCATTAAATTTTACTTTCAGTAGTAACAATTTATACAATGAATAATTACAAAAAAGACTAACCAATACGTCATCAGTGGCGATTCGCGATAGCGCTAAATATTCAGTAGCTCGTTGCTGTATTTCTACATTGGAACTACGTAAATTACTGTCATTTTGTAGTACAGATTGTATATCGGACTTAATTTCTGGAAACAAGTTGATAAACTTCATATACGTGGACAACAATAGTTGACGTGTAGTTGGAGTACATAAATGAAATTTACTATGCAATAAATTGAATTGTACTTTAGGTCTTTGGGTATAAAAAGAAATGAATATACAAAATGAAAACAATCAATAATGGAGAATTTTCATAAATTAAAAAAAACTACGAAAAAGAATCTAATCAAAGTTATTTGTCGATAATTGGTAGTATGGGGTTTAAAAAGTTACGTATTGTCACTTTATTTCAGTTTTTGAGCCTACACGACTAACGAATGGTACGCTGAAACTACATGAAATGTAGGTGGCGTGCAACTAATTTTGTAGATATACATGAAAATAGACTATAAAGCCTATATTCTCAATCATAATATTACATAACAGCGTTCACTGGTATATTGAAAAGTAATCGGACGTCAAAATGAATATGCATGGTATAAGCCACTGTGTCGTATACACTTACTATTTTAAAAGTATGTTGTGAAATATAACCTAATAAATCTTATATCATATACTCGGCTTTAAGTCGGTGATTCAATGGGAAAAAGATAAAATTAACAATCAGTTCTTAGTTCATCAGTTCACAAGTGGCTTGTAAATCTTTATTTATTTATATATTTATTTATTTATTTATTTATTTAAACACAGATATCGGTACAAGAAGGCACCAAATACATATGCGCCACACATATCTCATTTGATATGTGTGAGGGCTGGCCTAATATTAATTATTCAGGTAAGCTATTTCACTAGAAAAAACTGTTCTGGTGCCAAGTTATCGTGTCTTCCGATTTGAATTCATTCGACGGGTTACATCAATAAATCAGTCGCCAATACGTCACATAATATCATTGCATTTTATCTACTGATCAACATTATTCGTCGTTTTAATAATCACCAATAAGTATGATAACGCATTCCAAAACCGTTCTTTACAACCTTAGTTATAACACACGTAACAGCCAGTGATACTAAGCAACTGCCTAAACCGAAGTGAAGTATGGTTCAAACTTATGATCACATTATTTTGAAAGCATGTACTTCAACCGTCATACCACATTTCCACTTTGAGAAACGATATTAGACTTTGCAGTTAAAGTTTTATAAATCCAACGTTGAAAAAAAAAATTTAAAAAGCAAGCAACAAGTTTTTAAAAGACTAAAAATCTTTTACTTCAGATGGATACATTCGCATCAGTGGAGTAGCGAAATATATATCTTCATGAAAATATTAACTTTTCCCATCCAAATGATGGGAAAAACTGAATAATCTGAAAGCTTACGCTGATCTTGGGTCCCCTGCAATCAGATTTCCAAATTCACCCAAAATATATCCTCCAACTTTGACCATATTTTCATGACAAGCAGGAGCTTGAAGCGCCTGTAAATTAGCAAGGTTAATGATTATCATTAGGGAATCAGAATAGAGCTATATTATTTTAAAAAATCACTTCTGTTATGAAAGTGAATTAATTTCGTAATCTCCACAATAAAATGAAAACAATAACCGTAATAAAAGCGAATAATTCATTGTTAATTTAGGAGCTGGCATGAATATGTATCATCCGAAATTGACATAACACATTAGCAGTGGAAGAAATTAACAAGATATAAGATCCAAAGAAAAAATAAATGTATGGTGGTGATAAATAATAGTAATCATAGGTCAAATTACATAATAGTTCATGAAGCTTCTGAAAGGTATCTATATATAAAGAATATACATGTAAAAATGATGGCCGAACAGTGCATTATTGGGTGAACTAGTTAACTGAAATAAATGTGTTTCTTATTGTTAAAAACAGATGCTAGAAAACCTGCTAAAATTATATCAGAAACAACACAAGTGTAAGAAAAAAGCAAAAGAATACGAAAACTGATTTATCACAGATGGAAATCTTTTTTTGTAAAGACAATAAGTTGTAGTCAACGTGAAAAAAACAAGTGAATTTTTCTGTCCATGGTCATATATAGCCTATGCTAGTACTCTACAAATATTTCCACGTCTACAACTATCTTTTATCGTTTTTCTTCATTTTGGTTTCACTTTGAATTGTTTCCGGTGTTATTTAGTGTGATGAATTAACTGGAAAAGAAACTTACCACTTCAGGAAGGAAAAGGTTGTACACCAAATTAAAATTACGTGACGGCTTTAATAATAATGTAATAGTAATAACAGAAAATGATGATAATAATAGAATGGTTATCCGTTTTCGGTTACCAGCCCCAAATGAAGTCAGGAACTGTTTTATATGAAACCTCATGAGACAGAATAGATCAAGCACTTCTAATTTACACACAGACGATTCTCCATCGCGCTAACAATGAGGACGTATCGGCGATCTAAGTATCGTCAAGGTTAACCAGGAGGATTATAGAAAGGGATTAGCGTACCCTCATGTTGAGTGTGACAACTGTAATAACGAAAGCATTAAATTATTTCTAATCTACTGTAATTAAGTACCAATTTTAAATGGTGAAAAGTACTGTCACAGTAAAATATATTATAAATAACTGAACAATAATTAAAAACGAGACATAAACTCACCTCAAAAACTGTCTTCGCCGCATATCCTTGTACGTCCTCACGATTTATAACAATCTGGATGACACGATGCCAAACTTCATCACTAACATAATCACCAGCAACTCTTATTAAGTTCAGTATAGTATCCACATACCAAGAATAGTCAGTTGCATATTTTTCCGCCAATATAGCAACCTTTAAAACCATCTCCTCACGGATAGCATAATCCGCTACTTCCAAATAGCTGAGCATCTCCCCTACAATAGCTTGAGCATTAGTTCGATCGCACATGGCATATAAGAGATCCACAGCTCTTTGACGAACTGAAACATCCCGTTCACTCTAAACAATAAAATCAACAACATAATGACAGTTACTGGATTATATCAATGCAAATTTTCATGCTTTCTTTACTTAATATCTTTCACTATGACGCTGGGTGTTAAATGGTGTGGAACCTAAGTTCACGATTCCAAACAAATTAGTGAAGAGCATCCAATAATAACACCAATCATTGAAATCTTGAAGACGGAAGGCATAACCTAGATTATTGTTTGGATATTTAGTTAGAGACTGACCAAGCTGAAAGCCTGTTCACATTTAGTCGGTCCATTGACTTCAAGGGCAATTTTCAGTAATATAGCACACCACCGAATTCAATTCAGTCACTACCTATCGATTTCCTACGAATAACAATATTCCGCCAAGTCAAGCCTTTTTTATGCAATGCTAAAAACTTTCCGATCGTTATAAAGTCAAAGTTAACCTACAGAATCAAACCACTTATGGTTTAGAAAGAGATTAAATCCTATTCCTTATCCAATGAGGAAATATGGTCCCTAAACAAAACGACAGTTCGATTTTAAGGGACGGTATTTTAAACCCTTGATTTTGATAAACATTTTTTACATATGACCTGGAAAACTCCAAATGTAATCAACCTAATACCTAATTGGGACAATGAATCATTTTGTTTGGTGTTAGATTTAATCCACCTAGTTGAAAAACCAACATGACATTTTTTGAAACACGTACTTGCAACCTGTAAAACTAGGACTATCAAACGAATAATCGTCAAATAAACCTTTACTGAAGTTCATTGAAATTTTCAGATTTTAAACTTAATATGCTTTTTAAGCTCTCAGGACATTTATAACACAATAACAACTTATGTTTATGTAAATAGGACTTACTTTGAGTGCATTTACAATGGTTTCCTGATGTTTCTTGACTGCCTCGTGACTGAATTCACTCGTAGCTAACAAGCATAATGATTCAAGAGCTAAATAACGTAGATTGGTCTCCTTGTGTTGTAGGAACTGTCCTAACTGATTACAAGCACGGACAAGCAATTTGGGATCAGAATCCATATGGATTATAAGATTGATAGCTTCAAAAAGAACAGCATTTTTAGCATTTGGATGTTGTACTTTCTTTGATTTCGGAGCTTCTTGAACTTTCTTCAAAATAGTATCGAGGCACTCAGCAAGTCTAGCACGAACCGTAGTGTCCTCTAGATAATAAAAAATAAAAACACAATATTAAATAAATTATTGCAAAATGGTATATCTTATCACATGACGCAATATTGTAGTAACACTTCACAGTACCTGGTTGTGGGTAGTTCTGAAGTAGACGAAGTAACTTGACAGATAACCATGGAGCAGTAACAAAGTAGTAGGTATAATCTTGTAGATCAGTATAAGAAGATGTGATTAACTGAAAGGAAATAGAGAAAACATAAATTATTGAAATGATAGATTCAGATACCAATCACAAAAGTTTATTATCATGTTTATGAGCTATGTAAATGTGGATTCCCGCACAATATATGTGTGCAGTAAGTCGGTTTAGAAACCAAATAGTAAATCGTAAAGTAGTGGAAAGACTGTTATGAAAAACTACTACTGCGACAACTTGGAATGGACACTCCTGCTACAACTCGCTCCTTGCTAAACGATTTTGAAAATATTTATTTATTTATTTGAACACATAAATATTGGAACAAGAGGGCACCAAATATATATGCACCACAAAAAACAATGAGAATGAGAAGGGAAAAAAGGTAAGGAGTGTAAAAGAGAAAAGAACAATAACGACCAGACTAGTGTAAGATAGTGTAATAATAATAATAATAATAATAATAATAATAATAATAATAATAATAATAATGAGGGAAACGGAAAGGTACATTCAGAAGAATTCTTTCATTTAAGGAAGATACAACCACTTTTTACGAAGTAAGAGAAGTTTACAGCAGGATCGCCACTGGCTTTTATTCTGAGCCATATCTGATAACGTACCTAGCCACTGTGTTACACCATCTCTAGGACCCCGGCCAGCGAGTCGTGGAGGACAAACACAAGCCAGCCCTTTGCAGCTTCCTTTCATCCCACGACCCCATGTCATACACTGACCACCTCTCCACTTTTCCAAACCAGTCCCAGAGTCGGCAAATAGTGAACGACGTAGAATTCTCTGATACGACATTCGTAGAACATGTCCAAGCCACCGAAGTCAGTGTTTCAAGATGGTAACACCTATTGGATTGTCGCCTCTGTGCCCAAACACACGATGCCGAACTCCTGCATTACTTACATGGTGTTGCTACTGGATGTCAGCAATCCTTCGGAGACAGTGATGATCGGGCACAGAGAGTTGTTTAACATCCTCAACTCGGAGAGGCCAGGTTTCAAAAGCTTTGTAGATCCGACATTTTATAGCCAGACTAACATCGCGAAGGCGCCAAAGATGGCCCAGATTGGCATAAGCCGCTCTGGCTTTCACTATACGTGCATTGATCTCATCACTCACGCCACCACAAACAGCACTTATGCAGCTACCCACATACACGAACTTCTCGACCACTTCTATCTGCTCACCATCCAGAGTGAGTACAGGATTAGAATCCTGCTAGTCTTGTGGAAGTACTTTGCACTTCGACGGTGAAAAGCACATACCATACCTACGGACACTGATTGCCAACTGATTAAGTGCGGATTGCATAGCTTGGGCATTATCGCACAGTAAGACAATATCATCCACATACTCAACGTCGAGAAGTCTTTCTCCAGGCAACAGATCTACACCGCCATTACTTACATCCATCAGAGCTGTTTCCAGAATGTCATCGATGGAAAAGTTGAAGAGGATTGGTGAGATTGGGTAACCCTGTCTAAACCCACTGCTTGAATGGAACAATGGAGAGAGGTGGTTGTATGCCCTCACTCTGCCTGAGATGTTCGTATATAGGGTCTTTAGGCTGTTAATAAACTTCTCAGGCATACCCTTCTTCAATAGACAATCCCAGAGAACAGTCCTATCCAACAAATCGAAGGCAGCCCTGATGTCAAGAAACACTACGATTGTTGGTCTTTGATAAGTATGACGGTGTTCTAACATTTGGTAGAGAGTGAAGATATGATCAATACATCCTCGACCAGAACGAAAACCAGCCTGCTCCTCGCGAGTCAAATTTGAAAATAACAGCGTAATAGTGAACGCAAAAGTGATGGCAATTACAGAACATAACGCGATCGCTTCTTAATACTATAACTTCAAAAATCCTAACACAGCACCAAACTATTAACACAAAGCCTAGTTTGGGACTGAGAATATATGTTGGGGAAAACATCCACTAATTCACACTCAATTTGCAGTGATAACTGAATAAACTTAATTAATTAATGCTTGAATGGATAACATGTTGGAAAAACATATTAAATGGGTAAATAATGAAAGTCTCCAGAATACAATCGAACGTTATGGCGAACTGTTATATTGAATTGATAGATAATGATTTTACGATACCAAACAGTAAGTTACATTGTCTCTTAGACTTGTAGTTTTCTATCTGACGAAGGTATAGTTGCGCTGCTACGTAGATCGGCTGTAACAAATATGATGAGATTTTGCGTGACCTGAACACTCAGATTTAAATAGGCCAATGGACAGCATACACAAAATATGAGATAATAAGACAAGTGATGATAAAAATGACCATATTGAAACAACAATTCTTACTCTGCTAAGGCGTGAAACAGCAAGGGATACACATCCTTTATGTTCTTCTGGACTTCTTTTCACCAAAGCATCGATCAGACTAACGGCCGATGTCACAACACCCTAAGTAGTGAGATAAGTTTAAATATTATGGTTGATTGAAATAAAACAGATCAATTGAATTTATATACTTTACAGAACATGATATCATACAAGCAAATATGTCAACAGATAACTAGTACTTCTTTCCAGAATGTTCCTTATACATGGACCCTACAACTCATAAAAACCACTAGTTTTAAAGAGGTTTCGATCTATAGGTCGGTTACCTTCGCGGTCTAACTATAACAAGGCGGTGGTCAAATAATTCCAGCATTTGACCTTTAGACATAGGGTTGTCGGTTTGAACTCTGTTCCATTTCAGTTTAAGCAGTCAGGGAGTCCTACTAGTGCTCACAAGGAGTAAGCTTCGATGCCGGTTTGTTTGGTGCATTATATAACAGTGGAAAGTGTTAACTGCAAAAATGTATCGGCTCTTCACCGTGAAATGTGCACCACATAGATGTATATGATCCACTCAACAGAGAGAACAGACTATATTTACCTACGAAGCTCTACGTTGTTACTGACTGACTGACAAGTATACATGGGTGTATTGAAAGGAAGTCGATATTCAACGATCAATGAAGTATTCCTAATACGACAAAATTTATTCAACTTTACGTGACCTAGAGCACGTTTAAGAATGAGCAGTATTTAATTCATACTGGAAATAATATGTTCAGATAATATGATTCCTGACAAAATGAACAGTTGAAAGTAAAAATTGTTTGCATATATGGTATGGCGGAGTTAATTTCAGTGTATCATACTTGGAATATAACTAGGTTTAAAATTAACAAACAGCTAAACTCACCAAATGTTGGTCATTAAGTAAATGCATGGCTCTAACAGTCCAATCATCATATGTAATCAATTCAGGAGCAACCCTAATCAACTTCAGAAGACAAAGAGCAGCATTTTGCTTGATGGAGTCAATTGTATCACTAAAGGTGGTAATGAACAAGCATAAGCATACCCTGATACAAGTAATTTAGGGATCTTGTCTGCAAAATTTTCAGCCATCTCACGACTCCCTATATTTGCGATGCATTGCAAAGCAAGATTCATAAACACAGGATTCCGGCTATTCAGGTCATCCTTAAGACGTGAAATAACCAAATTCATAAGTGGGTGGGATTCATTGATGAGTACAGATATGAATAAATATCCCTAAAGGTGTTATTTTGCAAAATACTCTTACTATTTGCTTTTCTGTATATCGGTTTGAGCAAAGCAGATTGACTGCCTCAGTGTGTCCAAAATCAATATCGTGTCCCAAAAGAAATATGAAGAGCAATTTACAAACGTATTTCTTTTTCTGATAACCATCAAGAGTCTTATCGCCTACAAAGCATTACAAAATATCTACTTATTACCCCTAAATTTTGATCTGATATTTGCGAGCTCTTTATTGACGCGGCGTATTTCGCTCTCTTTACTTTTACAGTTTCGGATATCAGAGATAAAAACGGCTAAACCCCGCATGGCATCTCCTTTTGTGTTAGGCATTTTCAAGAAAAATTAATACAACTGAGCCGCCAATAAAGGTTATCCAAATGTCCCGAACACTAATCATCCAATATCCAATAACTTTGTCACTAATTTGTGTAAACAAATTTATTTTTTTGCGATCGCTTCTTAGTATTTCGGCATGTTTCCAGGTATTTGTTTATATCTTGCTGGTAGTAACCTGGCCATTTGAATATACTAATTCTAATCAGTGTCGTCGTTGGATTTGTATATTTTGTAGTTTGAGTGAGTATGTTTGACACACGACAGTGAGGATTCTGCATATCAGCAGATGTCGCATTACCAGGCATGAGATTGGCCAATTAAAATGTGAAAATAATGTGACAATTCGAGTACTAAGAAGTGATTCTTTCAAGAATAAACAAATAGTTTACTTAATTAATAATGTAAGAGAAGACGGAATTGGAAAGGTAAGGTGAGAACTCAGGTGATGACAAGTAGGATAGGAAGCAGTTGCCGGTTGTTCGGTGATGATAACCGCGGAAGCCAATCACCCACTTGGTTATCCGTCTCTGTACTTGGTTCAGGAGTGCTTACCCTGAAGTGTATTATATTGGATAACATTCTGAGTGGTGATCTGATATTAGCCTCAACCACTCTCTTAGCCTAAGTAGCGTTCCCTCATCTTTGTGTAGTCTGGTTTAGTGTAGCTAAGGTAAAGAACATTCTCGAACCTCCAAATTATCTTATTTTTGACCACGTAAAACATGCTATGCCATAATCGCTACATGCTGGCAGTGAATGGACATGGATATCATCAACTAAATGCTGATCATCTGTCAGTAATTAATCTAAGTTCGAGGGTCTTCCTTCCCTTTCCTATATTTTGGAGCTACCCACATATTCAGTCATTCATGAACTTCTAATGACTGTGGCAAGCCGCTTATGTAATCGCCATGTAGGTGTTGCATAGTGTTTGCTGTGATTTTGGGGTGGAGTGTTCAAATCACCTTCATTGACACATCTTTTTGCGTTTTAGAACCTGGGGAGAACAGAATATTCCTTTAATAAGGAAGTTCGTGCTGTTATTATTGAAGCAATGTAATCGTGATTCTGTTAACTCGGTAAATTCAGTATTGTGTTGTGTTACGTCTTTGAAGTGGCTGTTAATGCCCATCACCAGTCCACCTGCTTTTTTATACCCCGCTGTATTAAAATGGTGTCATGTTCTGCAAGCTCACTTCATCTGTGGTGTCGGGCGATCGCCATGTTTCAGTAAAGACTGATCTTCAATCCTTACTGAAAGCTCATCTATCTGATTTCTCCCCATATATCCCTTATTCCGGTTACGTGGCTATAGAGGCACTTGACAGTTTTTCGCATTTCCTCTACAGCGGTATATGTCTTCTGGTTTCTAGGCACATCACTGTTGAAAATGTGTTGGCCAGTTCCTTAAGAACTGATCACTGTGGGGTTTTCGTCTGCGTAGTGTGTTGCATTAGCAAGACCCAGGGATGTGTTTTGTACAGGGTTGTTGGTCAAGGTTAGTTGACATCACAGTGCTTTTGACCTTATCTTCCTGCTGTTGTCTTACGGATCTAAGACAACTTTCGCATCTAGTGTTGTGAAGTATGCTGCTTATGTTTGCAACTATAAGTAGTGTGTAACATCAGTCAGAAGTAGTGCTGGCGAGCAGAAGTTTGAGTAGATGGAAATGAGACGAAGAGAGAAGGAAACTGAAAACAATCAAGATCGCAACAGAAACGAAGGAACAACAAAGCTTGTAAAAAACAATTCAAAGGAGATGTGTAAATGATGTATAATTCTCACATTTTACCAAACCACTGTGTAATTGTGAGTTGAACAATAGATTGGTTGTCCTCACCTGGGTGTTCGTTTACTACCATACAACTGAAGAGGTTGTTTCTCGGGTTTTACCAAGCCAGATTTTTAGTTAGGCCTTCTTGCTTTCTGAAGTTCACAGCCATCAGAGGCGGAGACTTATTGGTCGTGTGACGTAACAGACGAATTAGCCTGGACATTAATTATTGTGGTGGTCTGAACACCCATCCTGCGTGGTGGTCAACGCCACCACTGCATATCATGTTCGTAACTTTCACCTTAACTAACACCTACTAGTTCACGTAATCCGTAAGTCACCATGCTAGTTGGTTCTTAGGTGTCCTCTGATCTTCTAGAGACAACTACGATGGCACGCGCTCTGTTGTGTCGAACTTGGGTTTGAGAAGACCGCTTGATCGTTGGTCTCCAGGATGTCATTAAATTTTCTCTGAGGCGTCCTGAATCCCAAATTACCCTCAGTATAGATGGATCACTTTTTGTTAATATTCGCCCTCATGTAGGAGGCATAGATTCACTTATGTGACAACTTTTCAGTGTATTGTTTGGCATTTCCTTCAATGTTCCTAATCAAAGGTCGCCCAACTTCCTAATAAGCTAATCTCTGACAACAGGACATTAGATAAGATCTGGGCGTTCTTCTATAGCTTGGGCTTGGGCTGTGCTGTTTGGGTTGTCGCGTGAAAGTCTGGACGGTGTCTGGTTCTCCTGAAAACCGATGTAAAATTACCCTGGCCCACAAGGGTATATTATATAATAATAACTGACAACAGGACATTAGATAAGATCTGGGCGTTCTTCTATAGCATTTGTCCCTCATTTTCTTCTCCCAGTCGTTTATTTTAAACTTTGTTCAGATCTCGTTTAACCACACCTTTTGTTCTCCAGTCTTCCTCTTCTGAGCCTTTATTACGTGATTTTGATTAAAGACTTGACTTTTACTATTTAATTTTTTATAGCACGTTGCCAGACTATTGACAGTATGGTCGTGTTTGACTAAGCTAAAGGTCACGGCGTGATTCAGTGTGACTGTTAACCTTTTGACTGTCTGCTTGGGAGGATTTCTGGAATCCCTGCAGATAGATATTTGACCCCGTTTGTTGGGAATATATTTGTTGATTCTCAGGTATCAAACTCTTTGGTAATAACTGTTTCTTTTATTGTTTAGTGCACAACTTTGCGTTAGAGAAACTTCTGAATGTATAGCACAGGTTGTACCGTTTGAGGTATTTTGTATTTTTGTTATAATTTGTTCTTTTTTTTAAATTAGAACCGTATAAATTGAGTACAGAGTTTGTGTTTTTTGACTTAATTTAATACGAGTGTCTCAAAAACGCTTTGTAAGCTATACAGAAGAACGTAGTCTGGCATATTCGAATACATTTTGGTTCGTCAGTCCTGCGTTCAAACCGAATACTGACAGTTCGATCTTTACATTACTTTTAATAGATACTAGGGTACTAATAACAGTCGATAATTTTGATGACGTATGAGCTAGGTGCACTGTTACAGTATTTGTTCGAGAATTTGTTGGACGAGTTTGATATATTAGTGGGAATGTTTGGTACTATTTTCAATGGGTTCTTATGCTTCTATTTCGTTAGTTCTGCTGGTTCATTTTTCTGCACAATGGGCGAATGTACCAGAACCGCGGACAGGGGTGACTTAGCATAAGTCCGTAGCACTGTCTAGGCACTGCTGAATCTCAGCAGCAGCGAACCAAGCCACTACAGCAGATACGTTCAAATGTTGAGTCACTGGTTCTAACAAGTGACATGAGCAGTTTGGGACGCTCGTTTTCCCACTTCTTTCTTGATTTCAAGACTTTCTATGAGCAAGGACCTAAGGAAGTGTGTGATCTTGATTACTAAATGTGGATTCCAGTTTCAGTGTTCGAGTTGATTGAAATATATTGTGCAAATTACTCAAAGATTCTTTTTCTGGTATTGTCTTGAGCTTTCTCATAATCTTGTTGAGAGAAGCAACTTATTAGTAGCCTCTGAATAGTGTACTCTACTTCTGTTAGTCGTCTTTATAGTTGTAATGTCAGTACTGTTAGCAACGATATTACTGGAGATGCTATTAAAAGATTAAAATGTAAAGTGTGGGACAGTTTAGTAAAAAAGTACACGAGGTAAACGTTTCGAGGAGGAAAGTGTAGAAGAAATAAGTGAATATATGCTACATAAGTACAGAACCTGTGGAACACTTAGAATTTAAGTGGCAGATTAAAAAAGAATACACTGATCTTCAGCACGAGTTTTCTTCGACTACCGTGAAACTGAGCATTAGGTAGATGGGAACTGGTACGGAAAATGTTCTATATAACACACCCTATGGTAGGGGTCGTCCAATCGTGCCGAAACATCCTAGACGCAAAATCTTTAATACGTTCCACAATCATTCTCGTACAGGCGTACATGTTACCACCAGGCTAGCCTGGTATGAATAAAGATGTGACGGGATGGAACGCCGTTGTGCAAGATGCCAGAAATCTTAGATGATTAGACACAAGAAATGTCGACCGTGTTCATCTGGACTTGGTAGGTCCCTACCTCTTACCGTGTGTTTTACATTCCACACGATGTTACATATGTAGTGGGATTGGTTCCTAAAGACACATTTTAAAGCCAAACGTATAATTACTGGAAAGATTTGTATTCAAAATGCAGCACTTGCAGAAAGTTAGCGGCAACATTTCATTCAATTATTAATCGGCATGACGTGTACATACTTGTGTAACCCATACTTTTTCACACCAAATATACTATTGTCTTTGCAGCCGAAATGTGTCCTTCTTAAGTGGAAAGCATTACAGTGCTAACGGTCACGATACAACGAGTCAATATAGACAATGATGTGACTTCCACATAAGCTATTATAGATTATGTGGTCACATCGTCACAAATCTACAATTTTAGGATTACGTCTATTATTACGGCAGTACTAATAACGGACTAGAACATCATTCTACACGCATATCGCAATATATCTCCTCCCAAAACTTTGTCATTACACATGGCGAACAGTCTTCATTACTAGTTGGATCAGCCGTTCGTGTTATATTTATATTTTAATTAATTTTAAATAATAATGCAAGTTAATTTTATCTAAATAATAGTCGATGGGAGAAACAAAATACGCAAATGGCCAAGTTAAAATATCAATTTCTAATTTAA